TCATGACTCGTCTTTGTCATGCCTTCCTCTGCCCAGTCACTGTGTATTCGGAGAGGAGCTCACTGTCCCTCTAGCAGCTGTAGGACACAATAGTTGCCAGGCTGAGACACAACCCCTCAGACTAGCCGGTCATGCTCAGACTTGCAGTGTGCCTAGACAGCTGTACTCCCCCCGACACCCCCATTATAATGAACCCACATTACTGCCCCCGACTAGGACAAGACAGCAGCTCACCTCCACCCTGCTCTCCCAGACGTTCTCTTCTTTTTGTCTCCTTAGCTCCGAGTTACACACGGTGAAGTCAGCCTGGGCAGGGCTTCTAGCAGAGCCAGCTTCCTATTGGCTAGGAGTTCACACAACAACAATACGGGTCACCCCAGGCGAATGGTGGAATGGCTTCTGTCCAATCACAGTACAGGAACAGCTTTCACTTGCTGTTGTCGCGCTAATCAACTGAGGACTTTGCAGGCCTCTCCTCCAATGAGGGGGCTGGCTGCGCCGGGTGCTAGGTGGACTGTGCGCTGTATCTGAGGTGGTGATGTCGGTGTGTCCGGGGGGACGGCTTCTGTAGGAGTTCTGCTGTATGCAGGTAATAAACACATAGAACGTATACTGAGAGAGAGCGAGCGTTCCTCTTCATGGGGAATGAGCTCATTGTTTACTAGAGAGCGCCAAATACATGGGCTGAGCGGTGTATCAGGATGGGGATTGGATGAGAGATCAGACAGGGATGTCACTTTACTAAGACAAGTGAGGAGTACAGTAACAGGATGGCAAAGAGCATGCATGGCCTGCACAGTATCACACACCACAGGATGAAAGCGGCACAGACATGGCCTCCTCACATGACTCTGTGGTTGGATAGTCTATAAAAGGGCTCATTAGGGCCCCATTCACACTTCCCGAAACGTAGTCCCCCCTCCCTTTTTTTGCACAATTTTAGCATTGTGCGTAGGGTGACCCATTCACTTGAATGGGCGGGTTTACATACAACAAGCGTGCCAAAGAGATTCCCGCACGGAGCGTTGCATATTTATTTTGTCTCGTGGTAAAATGCATGAAAAAACCGCAAATCTTCACACATTGTTTGTGGTGCCATTGAGAATTAATGTCACCAGAACGCGCATTGCACAATTTGCTGCGATTTTAGCGCAGTGTGAAATCAGATTTTAGATTCGCAAAGTATGAACGGGGCCTTACACCACTTTGTGTTTCTGCATGTGTGTTTTCAATAGTGGTGCACCGACATGAAAGATCTGGTGCTAAAATCAAGAATTCAAAATGCACTTAACCGAAACTGAAATGCGTAGTTTTTAAAAATGAATATTTTTTTTTGGAAAAAAATACTTTTTGATTAAAAAAAAAACACGATATATACCCCTTTTTTTTGTAGAATATGAAAGAGGATGTTACGGTGAGTAAATAGATACCCAACATGTCATGCTTTATAATTGCGCACAATCATGGAATGGCGTGAAACTGCGGTACTTAAAAATCTCCATGGATGATGCTTTAAAAATTTCTACAGGTTAGCAGTGTAAAGTTACAGAGGAGGTCTAGTTATAGAATTATTGCTCTTGCTCTGACGTTTGTGGCGATACCTCCATGTGTGGTTTGAACACCATTTACATATGTGGGCATGGCCTACGTATGTGTTTACCACTACGTGCGAGGACGGGGGCACTTTAAACTTTATTTTTTTTAATTTAATGTTTTTTGTTGATTTTTTTTTTTTTTTTTTTTTTGCATTGTCCCTTTATAAAAAAAATGATTCACTTTTATTCTTATCACAAGGAATGCATGCATCCCTTGTGATAGAAATAATTAGTTACAGGTCCTCCTTATGGAGAGATATGGGGTCAATAAGACCCCACATCTCTCCTCTGCAATGTAAAGCATTGATCTAGTGCATTAAAAAAAAAATGGCCGGAACCAGAAGTGACATCGCTTCGGTCTTCCAAGGCATAGAGATGAGTGGAGGCCATCTTTCCTTCCTCATCTCTATGCCCAGCATCGGGATCGTTTGATGGTTTCTCAGGTAAGACTGAGAACTACTGAGCTGCGGGAGGTGGCGAGGGGCAGGTTTTTTTCGGCACCTGTATCTGTGCCTATTTTCATATTGGCCGGCGGCCGAAAGTGGTGTTTTTGGCTGAAACGTTTCGGCCACTGAAATTTCTGTGCATCCCTAGTTTTCAGTGCTTTGAAGTGCGTTTACATGTGTTCTCAGTATGTTTGCAAAGCATTTTTAAAAATAATTTTTCATTAATTTCAGTTTATTTTCTTTACTAAGTTGCATGTATGCTCATTTTCACACACATGCATACGTGTTTGTGCTCATTCATGCAGCATGCTGTACTTTTAATTAAAACACAAATAAAAATCACTGCAGTGGTGTAAACTAGGCTTATTGGAATATATTCATTTTTCTTGTGTTGCGTTTTTGCTGTGTTCAAAAATGCACCTGGCTACATTTGGTGCAAACGAGCCCTAAAGCCTTATCTACACTAGCAGTTGGGGGGAGGCAGAGCTACCGATAGAGGGTTACAGCCATCCCTCCCATGCCAGGTCCCAATGGGTCAGCAGGGAGTTTGGCTGGGTACCAAGATGAGACTGATTTGTCAGTGGTGCAGTCCATCAGACTTGTGCTGGCCCCACCCCTTGCACTTCAACAGCAGGGCTTTTCAGGTAGGGTGTAAGGGGCCCCATGTTTTTGAATCATGTCAGTAATATGAGAGGACACTGAAGGGTTAAGTTGAGTAGAGAGATACACTGTATTGCCAAAAGTATTGGGACACCCCTCCATATCATTGGATTCAGGTGTTCCAATCGCCTCCATGGCCACAGGTGTAAAGGGTACCTAGGCATGCAGGCTGCGTCTACAAACATTTGTGAAAGACTGGGTCGCTCTCAGGAGATCAGTGAATTCAATTGTGGTACAGTGATAGGTTGCCACCTGTGCAATAAGTCCATCCGTGAAATTTCCTTGCTACTAAATATTCCACAGACACCTGTTAGTGGTATTAAAACAAAGTGGAAGCAACTGGGAACAACAGCAACTCGGCTATGAAGTGGTAGGCCACATAAACTGACAGAGCGGGGTCAGCACATGCTGAAGTGCAAAGTGAGCAGAAGTCGACATCTGTCTGCAGAGTCAATAGCTAAAGACCTCCAAACTTTGTGTGGTCTGCAGATTAGCACAACAGGGCTTAATGGAATGGGTTTCCATGGCCGAGTAGCTGCATCCAAGCCTTACATCACCATGTGCAATGCAAAGTATCAGATACAGTAGTGTAAAGCACACCGCCACTGGACTCTAGAGCAGTGGAGATGTGTTGTCTGGAGTGACGAATCACACTGATGGATGTGTCTGGGTATGGCAGTTGCCAGGCAAACGGTACTTGCCCGACTGCATTGTGCCAAATGTAAAGTTTGGTGGAGGGGGGATTATGGTGTGTGGTTGTTTTTCAGGGGTTGGACTTGGCCCCTTAGTTCCAGTGAAAGGAACTCTTAAGGCATCCGCATACCAAGACATTTTGGGCAATTTCATGCTCCCAACTTTGTGGGAACAGTTTGGGGATGGCCCCTTCCTGTTCCAACATGACTGCGCACCAGTGCACAAAGCAAGGTCCATAAAACGTGGATGAATGAGTTTGGGGTGGAGGAACTTGACTGACCTGCACAGAATCCTGACCTCAACCTGATAGAACACCTTTGGAATGAATTGGAGTGGAGACTGCAAGCCAGGCCTTCTCATCCGACATCAGTGCCTGACCTCACAAATGTGCTTCTGGAAGAATGGTCAAACATTCCCATAGACACACTCCTAAACCTTGTGGACAGCCTTCCCAGAAGAGTTGAAGCTGTTATAGTTGCAAAGGGTGAGCCAACTCAATATTGAACCCTACAGACTAAGACTGGGATTCCATTAAAGTTCATGTGCGTGTAAAGGCAGGCGTCCTAATACTTTTGGCAATATACTGTAGATTTGGGGTCATCTGCATATTAGGATATGCTCACACTGCCTCGTTCTGGGGATCAAATACACCAAAATAAAATGTATGCAAGTCTTCCATCTGTAAGTTGCCATATGCAGGTGACTAGATTGCACTCATTTTTGACCTGTCTTGGTGACAGTTACCCAGGCAAGCTGTTTATATCTATCGCTTCATGTACACTGCTGTGCATGGATCTATAGGAGGTTTACACAGCACCTTCATTGATGGAACAATGCTATGCCACAATGTTGTGCCCATATCAGTGGGTGTGCTTTCTAATTGTCTTCGTCTGGTTGAGTACAGACTTTACATTGCTGTGCTTTTGCAATTTCCTGCTTGATTTCTGCATACACATTTATGGCCAAGCTTTGTTTCTGCTGCTGACTAACTTTCCTTTAACTGTATACACTAATGTTATGCTTTGTTACATGACACATTTTTCAAACCAGTTGCTTTGCTTGAACTGTTACCATTATTCATAAGCAACAACACTGTGCCCATCTGGTATGCTGCTTCAGAAGGGTGGAACTTGCTCCACAGTTGCATGGATCTGCTACATAGATACAGTGTATTGTTTATTCATCAAATGCATGGCACATCACCTGGATCTCTACGAGTTCCTCTACTTTTTTGAGTGTGATTTACTTACCAGCATGCAACTCCCATACATTTGTCAGCTGGTTGTGGAATATTATTTGTGGAGTGTCACGATTAGAGACTGAGCCAGCTGCTGGTCTGAAATCTGGGCCAATCCCTACATTATTGTCGGGATCTATGCAAAGTCTGGACTGGTAGTGTGACACAGGATTGCAGAAGTCAGTGCACTTCTGTGACCCAGAGAAGTATGGCCAAAAGAGCTTTGGCCTTATTTCTCTAACGTGAAATATAGAATGCAAATAAACTATTTACTCAAGTGTAAAAGCATGTGTTCAGTGTACTCCATTACTGGCTTCTAATTTTCAACAACAGTTCATCAGTATCTATTCTGTTTTTATTTCTGACAGCATGAAGAGAACATGGGTTGAAAAATGCAAAAAAGTTGAAGAACTGGCATCTCACTATAAACGACATCCCCTGAGTTCACCTTATCGACCAAGGCTAGCCAGGCCATGGCAGCCTTCCTCAGTTTGGAGGCTTTTTCACCGTCAAATTGCAGCTCTTCAACTTGCCAAAACTTGTAAAGAGGTATGTAACTATGTAATGGAAGGTAATTGAGCCCTGGTTCACACTGATGTAGTGCGGATTTCTCAGTGTTTTCATTGCGAATTCCGCACCGCATCAAAATCGCACCCCGTTCATGCGAACCGCTGCGTGTGTGTATGTTAAGTTAACAACACCCCGAAAGTGGTCCACAAAATGCAATGCGATGTGCAGAATCGGATCGCATAGGTGTGAATACTGTACCTATGCGATCCGATTCTAGTGCAGACCCAAAAAAGGGTCCTGCGCGTTTTTGGTGCGGGTACGGTGCGAATAGAGCCATACAAAATATGTGGCTCTAATCGAAGCACACACAAATTGCATGTGATTTGCACAAAAATGAGGTGTGGTGTGAATCACATGTGACATACCACATACATGTGAACCCAGGCTGAATGAGAATGAAGGTGAATAACGCATGCATGTTGACATTCAGTACAGAATTCTGTGCAGCACACTTTGATTTCAGGAGCAATGTTGATTTCAGTTGAAAACGCAGCAGGCAGAAACCGGCATAGGTGTTAATAAAGGCTACATTCACACCTGCTTCTCTGGCCATCATTGAGTACATGTTAGAAAAATTAGGGGGTCACACCAGCCACATAACAAATGGCTTCATGAGCCTGCAGCCTCCCATTGCTTGCAATAGGGCTGAGTCCTTCAGCTAATCACTGGGGCCCCCTGCTGATTTTCTCAAAACTTAGCTGTCAGCCAGATATGCAGGTATGAATGTGGTCTAATGCAGGCCAAAGACGGGTCGAAAACCTGGCGTTTTTTTAAAGAAAAAAAAAAACGAAAAATCGGTCGTTCAATAGGCCGACGTTACCACCAATGGTAAAAAAAATCGGCCGATTTTTGTCCCGTCTGCGGCCGGCATTTAATTACTTCTGCCCCTTGCAGAGAGCTCCGCTATTATATTTGACATGAAAAAGTATTGCGGTTGCAACAATGTATCCATTTCAGATACAAATGTTTTTTATTCGGATACAAATAGATACATTGTTGCAAACACAATACTTTTCATATAAAATATAATCTCCTCCTCCCTCCTTCCTCCTCCTCCCTCCTTCCTCCTCCTCCCTCCTCCTCCTCCTCCCTCCCTCCTACTCTTCCTCCTCCTCTTCTTCCTCCTCTTCATCCTCTTCTTCTTCCTCCTCTCCCCCCCAACTTTACCGATAAAAAAAAAATGTGCCAAAACCCCGAAAAACGGCCAACCAATTAACCCACTAACGGTGCAAAAATCAGACGATTTTTTTTTTTTTTTTCGACCTGTCTATGGCCTGCATAAGTCTAAAGCAAACCTTCCTTGCTGTTGCATTATAACAAACAGTTGCAAATGTTGGGAGACAACACAAGCTGTCAGCTAGCAATTTACTTGCAGCTGTGACTTTCTTGTGCAGGTCACGTGTTGGTCTCTTTAAATGCTTGTTTAAAGTATAATTAAAGGCTGTTCATTTAATACAACCACGTTGGAGGCGGCTTACAAAGCCTTGCTTCTCGGTTGGCCCGGGCGAAGCCTGCCTGCAGTGATCGATGCTTTCGGGGTTGTGGTCATCGTGGAGATGTTACATATATGGTGCTCATGCCTGTTTTTGGTCTCATGTATTTGGCCTCCTTTTCATCTTGTTCCATATCTCCATACGTCAGGATGCTCGGTACGCCTTTCTTCATTGTCCCATATCGGGCCTGTTGGCTCTCCAGCAGAAGTTGTCTTCCTATTTGTTTTTGTTGGCCACTAGAACAATTGCTCAGACATGGAAGAGCTTGTCTGTCCCTCTCCAAGGGGTGAGGGTGAGGTATGACCAATCTGATGCTCAATGAACAGATGTCAAGTATCTGTAACGACTCCCAATGGAAATGTTTTGAAAATATAGGAGCCGTGGTTGACATATGCTTTTCCCACGCTCCCCCCCCCTGGTCTGGGGTTGTGATGTTCGATATTGGCGTTCCCGGACCCCTGTCTTGGTCTTGTTTTCTTCTTCCTTTTTTATTCCTCTTTCCTTTCTATTTCTGTTTGTTTTTTGTGAGGTGGTGGATAGCTGCCTTTGAGCTACTGTCAGTCTTATGTCACTGTTTTTGTACTCTATGTGCCATTGATAGCCCCTGCGTGGGCGTACCTTTTGCTCTGTGGTGTTAGAGCTCTGTTTTTTCTACTTTTTATGTGCAGTTGATAGCCCCAGTGTGGGTGTGTCTTGTTGCTCACATTTTCTTAAAATGTATATAAATTAATAGAAACTATTGAAATACAAAGTATAACTGAAGGAAAAACGTTTTTTTTTTTTTTTTTCAGTTTTGGAAAGGGTGAAGAGGGATTAGAACCCCTGTCTGTTATTATTGCTGTCTGTGCCCCTGTTAAAGAGATTCACCCTCTCTATTTGTCCTGTTATTTCATTATCATTGAAAGTGAAAGTAAAAGAAAATCTCAAATGTCCCCAGAAAATTTATAGAGGGGGAATCTTCCAATGGGGACAGTTCTGGTGACCTGGGGAAGGGGGGGGGGGGCAGGGAAATCCCTTAATATGAAGGGATGTTTGGCTATTGGACAGGAAGTGAAGGGAAATCTCTGCAAAGGCTCACAGATGGTGGAAAAAAAAAGTCTTAACGGGTTATAACCCTCGCTTGCTCTACCCAAAATGAAAGTATAAACATAGTCATTTTTTTTTTTTTTTCATTAGCAACTTTCTCAAATTACATTGTAGTATGGGATTGGTGCAGTGGAGGTCATGTATACACCAATAGAAGAAGGGGGCTCTTGATAGTGCTAGTGGGGAACATAAAACAAGAAAGGTATGAGCTAACAGTTTATGCTGTTGCCTAGCTGAGGAGCTGTTAGTTCATGCAGTGTGCCACATGCTTCATTTATTATTTATTAATATTATACAAGATCTATATAGTGCCCACAGTTTGTAATGCTTTACATAAATAAAAAGACAGCATACAGTTACAATAAAGTTTGAAACAAGAGGATTAGGAGGGCTCTTCTCGAGGGAGTTTACAATCTAGGAGCGGGGGGAAGGGAGGGCAAGTGATACAAAAGTTTAATAACTGTGACGGATGAGTTATTAGAAAAAGTAAAGGTATGGTTTCTAGCTGGAAGCAGGATAGGCCTCCCTGAATAATTTGTTTTCAGGGACCTCTTAAAGGCAGGCAGAGTAGGGCATATCAGGATAAATTGAGATCCAGAGTTCCAGAGGATGGGAGAGACTCTAGAGAAGTTCTCAAGGAGGTGATGAGGGATCTGCGGGATCTAGAGAGCAGGAGTTCCTGGGAGGAGTAGAGAGGATGGTTTGGGTGATAGGTTAAGATGAGGTTTTTAGAAGTCAGTGGAGGGTGGCAGACACTGAGCGGTTTGTAAAGTGGACTTTTAACTGGAATTAAAAATACCAGTGAATGTTCTTACATTTTGCAATCCAAATGTATGTTAGAATGTTGAACGTTGCTTTTGTGTGGGATGGGAGTTCAGGTTTAATTTGCTCTTTTTAAAATGATACTATATTTTTTTTATTTCAAAAAGTTCTAAAGTAAGGAAAAAAAACTGAGTCCAGAATAAAAGAATAATAACAGAAGCCACAGTTATTCTACAAATATGTATTTATTTTTATAAGGACGTCCATGTATTTGCCTTGGAGACTGTTCTGGATGATGTTGGAAGACGACTCTATCTTGTGACTACATACACAGAGTTTTGGTTTTATTACAGGTGAGGGTTTACACTTTTGTAACTTTTTTTTTTTTTTTGGGGGGGGGGGGGGAGTTAGGCCTCATTCACATTGGTGTCCCTGCATTTAGCTTTTCTGAACGCAGTTAAAGTGATCTGTGAGTTATAAACAACTTTTATGCTTCCCAGATCACTTTTCCCTGCGTTTAGATGTACCTGATTTAAAGCAGGTTAGCTGTGTTTAGTTGCATTTACATGCGTTTTAGAGTTTCTAATCAGATGACCAATGAGCAGAATTCTGTTTTCCCTAAACACAGCTAAACTGACTGCACCTAAGTACAGGTAAACCCTGGGGTTTTATATACTAAAGCTAGAGAGTGCAAAATCAGGCTCACTTCTGCACAGAAACCAATTGGTTTCTAACCTCAGTTTGTACAGTTTAGCTTTGGCAATAAAACCTGGAAGCTGATTGGTTTCTATGTAGATGTGAGTATGATTTTGCACTCTCCAGCTTTAGTAAATAAACCCCACAGTGTGTATGGCACTATTGAAAAGTCATTACTTGCATTATATGTGCTAGAAATGTCCTCTAAATGCCCATAAACACAAGTTTGACAACAGCAGTGTGAATAAGGCCTTACTAAACTAGTTATGTGTGATTAAAGCCCCTTGCACATGGGACAGTCTAGCTCAGCAATGGGCAAACTACGGCCCGCGGGACGTATACGGCCCGGCGGACCTTTTAATCTGGCCCGCGGAGCTAGGCTCCCGCTAGGCTCCTCTCACAGTCCGCCCTGTTTCCTATGAGGATCTGTCCCCCCTCGATGTATCTGCGCATGTGCCGGAGATCGCCGATCGGCTGCTAATGCCTGAAACTGGCACATGCGCAGATACGTCGAGGGGGACAGATCCTCATAGGAGACAGATTTTCATGCTACACCGAACGGCGCAGGAACAAGAGGAACGCGCGGAGCAAAGGTAAGTGAATTGACACAGGGGGGACATGGGGGGATGAATTACTATAGGGGGGGTGAATTACTATAGGGGGGATGAATTACTATGTGGGGGATGAATTACTATGTGGGGGATGAATTAATATGTGGGGATGAATTACTATGTGGGGGATGAATTACTATGTGGGGGATGAATTACTATGGGGGATGAATTACTATATGGGGGATGAATTACTATATGGGGGATGAATTACTATGGGGGATGAATTACTATATGGGGGATGAATTACTATGGGGGATGAATTACTATGGGGGATGAATTACTATATGGGGGATGAATTACTATATGGGGGATGAATTACTATATGGGGGATGAATTACTATATGGGGGATGAATTACTATATGGGGGATGAATTACTATATGGGGGATGAATTACTATAGGGGGGATGAATTACTATAGGGGGGATGAATTACTATAGGGGGGATGAATTACTATAGGGGGGATGAATTACTATGGGGGATGAATTACTATGGGGGATGAATTACTATGCTTACTATGGGGGAATATTACTATACTTACTATGGATGACACATACACATCATTCATCTACTCTTGGTCCGGCCCCCGGGTCCAATATATGAACCCATTGCGGCCCTCAAGTCAAAAAGTTTGCCCACCCCTGGTCTAGCTGCTCTGTGTCCCTCCAAGAATTTTAATGCTCCATGGAGGCACAGGTGCAGCGCCCAGCGCTGCTGCCTGCAGCCTGTCGAAGCCTATGGCACGCTGGAGCTGGATGAGGCTGAACACTGTAACAAATGATACTTGCATTTCGGGCTCTATGCCTTCAGGGAGTCAGGGACACATGTCAGTTGACAAGATTTAGGCACTAGGACATTAGAATGCTGGAAGGAAAGAACAGCAAATGGACAGCTCAGTGAGTAAAAGCCCTAAAGGGGTTGGCTATACACAGAAAATATCGCCAAGTCAAGTCTGCTACAACCATGCTTTCTTTTATCAGGCTGTATATAGTCACCCTATTAGTTTTTGCCCTGTAAAAATAAAAACTGAGTTCAATGTCTTTTACTATCAGAATAATCAGTATTTTTATTTTCCAGCAAATATTCCCAAACCTTGTCTCACTGCTATGAGGTCATTCCTGCTGATACAGTTTGCAAACTTTACTTTGATTTAGAATTTATTAAACCGGCAAATCCAGGGGCTGATGGTCAAAAAATGGTTGCTCTTTTAATTGAGGTAAGAATGAATTATGGGAAGAGGAACTATACTGTATGTGGGAATCTCTCATACTACAAGTGTACAGGGATAGAGTCATTATTTATGGTGCTTCAGATTACCTTGCTTCAGGTTATATGAAAGGTTTGAGGGGTGATCATTGCATAACACCTTACCTGACAAAAAAAACATTTTCTTTTAAGGCTAAACTCTAGTATTTACTATCAGTTGTACACTATTTTACAGGCTTCTCTCCTAGACTGAAAATGCTAAGTCTAATGTCTACACGCTGAGCTTGCATTTAAAAGCTGCTGCAAGTCATTTTCTGGCTGGACAACCAGCATTATCTAGCCCTTTCCTCCTCAGCCTAACAGTCCATGGCCCACCATTTTCATTCATTAGATATCAGTTCATTCAATCATGGAGGCTACGTATCAGATGTGCGCAATACCTAGGGTGGTCTGCATCTAAATGTAGTCTGCTTTGAAAGGGCCATTCCTGCAGGCTGACTTTCACCAGTTAAGACATTTTGATACTTAAATAACCTCTCCCAAGAGTCAGGCAACTGATTGACGAGATGAGGTAGCAATGTCACGATCCCTGCATTGTTCAGTAAGAGAGCGCCTTGTAAAAATAAAAGGCTTTCCCTGAATAGTGGCAATGTTGAGTTAGCTGTCTCCTTTGGTTATTGTGTAAAAGGGCAGCTTCTCGGCATTGGACCTGGAAGACTGCTGCTATCCCTGTATGCATCTTACACAGAGGTCAGTCAGATGTGCGTTATATGTACTTACATTGGCCCAAGCTGGGCCAGTGTAACTATACTATAAAATTCATGCTTCAGCATTAGACTTCAGCTTTGAATGAAGGTTTTTTTCTGGTCTACCTTTGCCAGGTGTGGTTTAACTCCATTCTTTCTTTTGATTTTCAGTTTTTCATCAGAAAGCTTCAGGAACATTATGGTTTAACATGTTCTGCAGATTGTGTTATAAATCTGGACTCCAGCACTGATGAAAAATTTAGTCGTCACTTAATATTTTTATTACCCAATGCAGCCTTCAAGGACAATATTCATGTTGGTGAGTGGCAAATAGACTTTAAAATAATTTACTTTGTTTCTGTAGCACTGTTGCAAATTCAAAGCATGTGCTAAATTCTTTAAAGTGGTTGTAAAGGCTTAAGGTTTTTTATCTTCATGCATTCTAAGCATGAAGGTAAAAAACCTTCTGTGTGCAGCACTACCCCCAGCCCCCTCAATACTTACCTGAGCCCCATCATGATCCATCGCTGTGCATGACAGCCTCTGCTGTTCTGGGTCTCTGCCTCCTCATTGGCTGAGCCGGCAAGCAGGAGAGCCATTGGCTCCCACTGCTGTCAATTTCAGCCAGTCAACCAATGAGGAGAGGGGGCGGGCCATTCAAATTGACACACAGAGCAGCAAGTTTCCCCATAGCAAGCTGCTTTCTGTGGGGGCACCCAACAGAAGGGAGGGGCCAGGAGAGCCTGCGGGCAACCCAAGAAGAGGAGGATTCGGGATGCTCTGTGCAAAGCCACTGCACACAGTAGGTAAGTATAGACATGTTTGTTATTTTCCAAAAATAAATATTTACTTTTTTAGAATCTCTTTAAGAATTGTTTACTGTTGTTCGATCTGAGAAGACAGAGGACAGCAACGCAGTGCTTGATGGTGGTGGTTTTTTTTTTTTTTTTTTCCTTCAAGTCGTGACATATATAACAGTCACTTGGGATAATCTGACTTGGTCTGCGTTTAACAAAGGTGCCAGGGGTCTATCTCTTTTTCATCTTTCTTTTTTCGCTCTTCTATCTTTTTTTCTTCTCCAAAAGCAAGAGTATGGAAATCACAGCAAAAACTAAGCTCTGATTTCCTGTAGTTAAACCAGAAAGGCAAAAAACATAGCCGATAGAGTGACCCCTGGTCAATGCTGCAAGTAAACATTTACTTTAGATTTTTTTTTTTTTTTTTTTGTGCTTTTACATGCCATTGTTTAACTTTGTGACAGGGTCTTTTTAAAGCTCTAAGCTTATACAAGAAAACTGTCTTTTTACAATCAAGTCCTATGACCTGACTGTCCTGTTTCTAAGGATGCAGCTTAGGAGCAGCAGTTGATGCCAAGGTTCAAATTGGTAGCATGTAATGTAGTCCTGACAGAAGGTGGGGTGCCATACTGTTATTCTGCCTGTTTGGTCGCAGGAAGACACAGGGAGGCACTGATGTCACTGTAGGGTTTCACCTTCAGTGCACATTCTGAGGTGAGGTGGCATTAGAAGTGTCAGAATCTCCAAAATTTGCTTGCAGTGTTGGTACTGTGGAACTATTATCAAGATTTAGTGTCACTTATTTTTAAAAAGGCTGGGGGAGCAAGCCTGACTAAGGCAACGTCGTTCTCACAAAGGCAAGGATTGAAGTAGAGGGAACAGGTACTGTCAAAAAGGGGGTACTCTCTTAGTGTGGGGGGGGGGCTTTAACTTTTGCTGTCTGTGTCTCCCTTCTCCTCTAACTTCTACATCGCTAGGACTGTAAGTGATCTCTGAAAGCAGGGTAAATTCCCCAGTACAGGATTCCCAATGGGATATTTGCCTTTATCGCTTTCTGTTCGAGGCAACCGACTCATTGGAAATGGTGCACTCCCTTATGTGGCTGTTATCGGAACACATAATCAGAAAGTGATAGTAGCGATCAATCAAAGCTTTCTAGTGGCTAATCTACCGAGTTCTACATTTAATGTGTATTTAAAATCAAACTTTCATTTAAAACTGTAAAAAAGAATAGCTAGGGGTTAGAATCCCTGTATTTTTTATTATTGGAATTGATACCAATGGTGCTTCAGTCACTTCTATTTTTCCTGGTGACCATTATCCTAAAAAACGAAAATAAGGGAAAACCCAGATCTAGGAATAGATGGGGAGTTCTCCAACTGGGGGCGTTGGTTCCCATGACAACTGTCTAAGAAAGGAGATTTCAGGACCGGAAGTGAAAAGAAATATCACTAATGGGAAACACATATGGTAAACAAAATTACAACAGGGTTTTAAGCATTCCCTGGTCAACTGAAAAATAGGAGAACCATTTTTTCTTTCTTGCTCTAGGCACAGTGTAATACAATAAAAAAAGAAAGCAAGCATGTACAAATCTGAAAATTATAGTAAAGCAGAAGGAACGTCTAAAATATCCTTTCTTTACAAAATTGCCTCCCCACTGCCTTTATATATATATTTTATAAAAAATCCCAGTGTAAACGCATTTTGTTTTTCTAAAAATAAGGGAAGAAGTGGAGAAAAAGAGTCAGGACAGGGAGAGAAAAAGGTTCAAAAAGTATACATATGACCATTAGCATGTCAAACAGGTGCAGAGTCAAGTGTGCCCCATGAGTCGTTCTAGGCTAGGGTTTCTCAACCTTTTTCCAGGCAAGGTACCTTTAAAAATTATGGACAATCTTGAGGTAACCCATTCTAAAATGTAAAAAATTAATCTAATACTTTTACATATTGCGGTAGCATCCACACAGATGGGACACCCAACGTTAGAGGGGATTTACTTTTCAAAGAAATAACAATTTTCACACTGGCACTTAATAGTATTTCAGCATTTAATCTTCCTCATTTTCTCTCCCCCACACAGATAATGTGACCTCAAGACTGACAGGGGTGGGTTAAACAAGGATGCTGTGCAGGTACCCATTATCCTCCTTTTCAACCAATGATGCCATCATCCTAACAACTGCTGGCATCTGGCCTGCACAGCACCCAAGATTGTAATGCTGCACAAAGAAAACCTGTGGCTCTATGTAACAAAAAAACAGGCTTGATCCACCCATTAGCTTGTACATGGTTTTGGGGAAATTTGGAGCAATTTGTATGCATTTTACTAAGGCAACCCTGAAGAACCCAGAAAGCACTCTGGTTGAAAAAGGTTGTTAGAAGAAAACAGGGTAATGTTGCACTCCATGCTTACTACAAATCCCATAAAGCTGAATTTTTAGGCATTTTGCTAAGGTACCCCTGAAGAACCCAAAAGGCACCCTGGTTGAAAAAGCCTGATCTAAGCCGACCAAATTTTGTCAAATTTCCTAGGACAGTTACAACTTTCGTAAGTCAACTTATATGAAGTATCTAAACTGAGGGGCTATATGACTGCCAAGTGAACAGGCATATAGTAAGCTATGTGGAGAAATTTCACCTAGATACATATATCCTTGCCTGAAACAATATTGGTAAGATAGTCACTTAAACACTCGTCCCAATCCTCTCCTGACAATTCTGGCATGTTGACTTGCCATTTGGAGAGTAGGTTACTCAATTTTACAGAGTGTGCAATGGAGAGTTGACTTTACTGCATATTGATGACAAGGATTTCCCCATCACAAATACAATTTTATTCTTCTTCTCAGTGGTCACTTGACCATCAAGCTTTGGCTTCTCTGTATAGATGTGCGAGCCAACAGTGGGGATGAAGTACACAGAGCCATGTCACCTGTAGGCTTCCACTGCTGTAGCTTGAGATGGAGCTCTGTGGTTCCATGAAGGTGAAGAAGAAGTAAAAAAAAAAAAAAAAAAAAGTATTTACATTGAGATTTCTTACAAATTGTATGTAGTATGTATAAAAGCAGTGGGAAGGCAACGTTTCAAACATGGGTTGTTTTTAAACCTTTCCTTCTCTATGGTACACACTGAAATAATTCAGAATATGTGCTCATGGATAAGGCATCATGCTTTTCCCTTTTTAAAGTGTACGTTTCTCAAACTGTGATTTTAACATGAGAAACTAAATAATGTGTTTCCTCCACATCCAGACGCAGCAACAGTGTCAGTGGACACTGTATTATCATACAAGATGTCATTATGGTATGGAGTGTCCATCACATATGATGGTTGAGCTTCAAATAAAATCCACATTAATTCTGATAAAAAAATGACTTTGCTCACAATCTAACTACTTTGTTTTCTTTCATTTTAGGCAATTTTATTAAGACAATGTTACATCCCTTATTACCTCAAAGCAATAGTAAATGTACCCATACAAACCCTGGACCATCAGTTCTAGGACCCTCAGAGCTCTGTGATGACACTTTGAAAAGTTGTACAGCCTGTAATGGCAACATGAATATGACAGAAGAGTATTGTGAACTTTCTTCCTTTCTTGTGAGGGATAAAAATGGTGGAAGACAACCTTTTATAGATCTAGGTGAGTACTTTCCAAACTTTTAAACATGCCTATAATTCTATATTAAAATTACTAATGCTGTTATTGTACTATGCCATTGTTTCAATAAACAATAATCTTGGATGTTAAACAAATAAAGGAAAAAAAATAGGCATGCTCCTCTTAAATGCACCCAAGATACCAAAGCAGAAAAAGTGTAGTAGGTTAAATGGATTGCACAAGTAATAATTGACACATCTGCTTTATTTCATGTTCTGCTACTTCAAATTGTATGGTGCCTGAAGCATTAAATAGATTGAACACTCTGAAACTGGTTTTTGTTACTGGCCTAGCTGCTTCTTCCTCGCAGCACATTTAACGGCTCGTTGTAATGCGAGTGGCTGTTTGGGAATTTTAATAGCCAGTGGGGCTGGCTGTCAAAATACAGTAGGCACAGCAGGACATTACAAAATAAAACTGTCACTGTATGGCCAGCTTAAGGTGCTCAACTGAAATTTAGCAGATATCAAAGTAGAAGTCATGCCAAACATTTTTTTTTCTTTTTTTTGTGACAGCGTAGAAAAGTCTATATCTCTATCAGAATTTTACTGATATGTGTTGGAGAGATTTTTCTTAATTCTGTCTTACTCCTCCTCTCTTGGGAATGAGAAGTAAGCTGAAAGCTCCCTAAATGGGAGGTTTGAATCCCCCTCCCCCTGTTCTGGAAATTTTATAGATAGGAATTTCTTATCCTCCTATTGATCAGCGGTTCCAAATGAATAACTACTGCAGTAGGGAACAGACACAAAAAGTTACACTCAACATCATTCCAAATAACTGTACTGTTTGGTGCAATAGAAGTTTTTCATACACATGCTTACATATGTATTCCATTAATACTGATATTGTATTTTTAACAATGGGCATTACATAGGCAGGATCATTTTTAATTGGGACTTGAAAGAATGCAAACACGTAATCAAAATATTATTAGTGCCGTGTGCACAATGAGTGCAATGTGCAATACATAAACAAAGCATACAAAGTAGAATATAGGATAGGAATTGAGGGGATATCCTAGGGTTTACATATGGGGAGGTGGGATTTATTTCACGCTGCCTGACCTCTGAGATGTATAAGGAGAGGATATGGGTGATTCAGCCTTCCAGCATCTGCTAAAAAAGTGATTGGTAGATATCTGCTGGACAGCAGCCAATGGGGATGGGGCATCAATGAAACAAGGTAGGCCTTATCGGCTAACAAAAGAATAGGAACTTGACACTTCTGTGCCCAGAAATCATGGGGAAACTTGTCATTTGAACCACATGTATAAATGCCACTGTGCAACCTGGGCTGGAAGGAACAAGCGGTGCAGCCCTTCTCAGATCAGGGATTCCAGTACTGCATAAAAAACAAGAGAGCGCAAATGCCTAGTGCATTATCCCCAACACTTTAGTAAGGGGTGACAGACAACATACAGTATATTCACAAGCCTAATGGAATGGATGGCATGACATAAAACACAGAAACCAGAAATCCACTCCGAATGCAACGACCATGATGAGCAGATGACCATGCCCACTTACGCGTTTTGGAGAACTGGCCTATTCCTCAGAGCATTGACTAGTGCACCTCAACCCTGACCTCCTTAAATACCAAATTTCCAAAGATCACACCCACCAATCATGGTGAAAGACTGGGTAGAAGGGAGGAATTGGGGGGTAGCTCTGCCCACAATGGTCACAGATCACATAGTAGCAAATACAACAGCAACATCACTCCAGCACATACCAAAAACATGACTAGACTTGTGGAGCCCTTAAGTGGACCGTGCAGTGAGGGGTATGTAACTTGATGTATCTCGATGTAGTGTTGCATGTTAATTACAACATGAATCATGCTTTTTGTTATGTGCTGGAATGGTGTTGCAAATTAAAGCATTTTCTGTCATTATTGCACCACTGCAGGGCAACCTCATTAAGAGGCACTTATCACACAGGTATATTTCCAATATTTTCCATTTTGGGTAATGGCGTTTGGTGTGTATTGACAGTGGGTCCCAGTGCTCATACCAGGATAGGTAGGTATCTTCTAGTGATGCACCGATATATCAGCTGCCAAGAATTATCAGCTGAAAATGGGGTTATCGGCATTTGCTGACATTAAAAAAGGTGCCAATAATGATAATTGACTTAAATTAAAAAAAAACACGAGGCATATTTATATTTCATTTTATTTTCTCTCCAATTTTTGTGTGTTAATTCTCAATCAAAGTTATTTTATGTTGCTGGATTGTATCTTTTTTTTAATTCATATTCATTTAAATCCATGATATTAATTAAAAAGTCAAATATAATACAATTTTATATAATTTTTTTTTTTTAAACTTTCCATTTCGGTTTTCGGCCAAGTGCATCCTGAATTTTTGGTTTCTGTCCAGAATTTTCATTTTGATGCACCACTAGTATCTTCCTGTCCACTATCCAAAGGAGATATCTGCTTCTTATCCATGGCCATTCTGTGTCTAGCTACATATATTTTCTACAACATTGGGTTGGAAAAAATAAAAGGGGATTTTTTTATACGTTGTTATTAGCAATCCATCATAACTGGAAAAAAAAAGCTTTAATCTGGATTACCCCCTTTTTTCTTTCTGTTTTTAATGATTCATCTGTGTTGTCTGTTCTCTTATGTGTTATGTTGCCTTGTGTTGTGTAGGGGTTTACACTAAAAACAGGAACTTTCGTTTATACAAATCCTCTAAACTGGGAAAAAATGCTGTGTTTGAATTGGCTGAAGACAACAAGTTTTCTGGCAGGCCTCCGAAGCATGTGTCAGCCGAAGAGCACATTTTCCTCTGCTCTTTAATTAGCAATGTGAGGTAAAGTCAAATCTTTTTGTCGTCACGGTAGTTAATAAATGGGCCTCATTCATAGACTTAAGTCTGATAGTCTCTTCCGTTTTTCATCCTGAGATTAAACAATATCTGCTTATTTTTGGCCGAACTCAAATATTTCTTTCCACTACCTTTTTTATACATCAGACCTCTATCACTTTTCTTTAAAGTCACTCTGTCACCACAGGGTCAATTTTACAAACTGGTCACCTGTAAAGGACGTAATATATAACTTTTTAGCAGCCGTGCATTGAAAAGTCACCACTTATCTACTTCCCAGCTGCTGCAAGTATTTTGCACTTTCAGGTGTGCAAAATACTTTTTCCGCCTCTGACTGCTGTGGTTTCATCTCCTGGCTCATAAGTCATTACAGGATTATGTATGTCACTATAGGCCCTGTCAGGAGGAATTACAGCAGCCAGTGAGGGGAGAAAATATTTGACCCATCCAATGTTTGACTATTTCCAGCAGCTGGGGAGTGGAAAAGGGACAGCTTTTCAGTGCATGGGCCACCAAAAAACCATAAGTTAAATAGTTAGTCTGGCTGAAAAAAGACCAAAGTCCATCCAGTTCAAACAAAAAAAAGAAAAAAGTTATCCTATACCCACAATTGATCCAGAGGAAGGTAAAATAAAACACAGCAAAACATGATCCAATTTGCCTCTCGAGGTATCCGGAAGGAATTTTTTCCCCTGCAGGAGCAATCGCATATTCCCTGCACCAACATTACCTATAAATGGTAGTATATAGTTATATTCAGTTTATCTAGGAAAGAATCCAGGCCTTTTTTAAAGCAATCCACTGAGCTGGCCAGAACCAACTATTGAGGGAGTTTTCCACATTTTCACAGCTCTTACTGTGAAGAAGCCTTTCTGTATTTGCAGATTAAATCTCTTTTCCTCCAGATGTAAAGAGTGGCCCCTTGTTTTCTGTAGCGACCTTAAAAGTGAATAACTCTACACAGAGCTCACTATGTGAACCACTGATGTATTTACGCATGTTGATCATATCCCCCCTTAATCTGCTCTCAAGAGAGAATGATTTCAGCCCCTCTAATCTTTCCTTATAGCTGAGCTCCTCCATGCCTCTTATCAGTTTGGTTCCCCTTCTCTGCATTTTCTCCAGTTCCCCAATTTTTTTTTGTTTTTTTTTTGGAGTGGTGCCCAAAACTGAACTTCATATTCCAGATGAGTTCTTGCTGATGATTTGTACGGGGGGGGAGAGAGAGAATATTTTGCTTGCTTTAGAAACCGCAGCTTGGCATTGCATGCCATTATTAAGCGTGTGATCTACCAGAACTCCCAGATCTTTCTCCACGATTGATTCTTCCAGTTGTACCCCCCCTAGTATGTATGATGCATGCATATTCTTAGCCCCCAAGTGTATAACCTTACATTTATCAACATTAAACCTCATTTTCCACATATTTGCCCTATTAAACAGTGCATTGAGGTCGGCTTGTACGTTGGAGACATCCTGTAAGGACATTATTCCACTGCAAGGCTTTGGTGACATCTGCAAAGATGAACTGTATTTTTAATCCCAGACCCAATATCATTAATAAATATATCAAAAGTAAGGGTGCCAACACTGAACCTTGGGGTACACCACTGACAACCCTAGACCATTCAGATTATGAATCATTAACCGCTACTCTCTGAATACGATCTTTTGGCCAGTTTTCTATCCATTTACGTACTGATTTTCCCAAGCCTGTAGACTTTACCTTACACAGTAGCCGTGTGTGGAGAACTGTTTCAAAGGCTTTTGCAAAATCCAAGTATACCACGTTCACTGCCACCCCTCTGTCCAAGGTTTTGCTCATCTGGCATTGGTGAATGCTTTAATTCATTGACACCTTGTGCATATGTATTTTGAATATTTTTTATTTTCCTACAAATGGTACCAATTCCAATGGTTGTTTGTAACATGTGCACCTTCTTATCACCTGCCTCCCCCCCCCCCCCCCCCCCCCCCCCCCCCCCCATCTTTCCACATTCTACCCACCAATAAGGACCGACCCCTGTCTGATCTGTCTTCCCCATTATCTAGTTCTCCCCTCCTCCCTCGATCCTAGTTTAATTACTCCTCCAATAATGATAAACATAAGTTACTGTGGTCGGCCTGGCTCCATTTCTCCTCCTTCGACTCTCTGTGATATGTGTTCCCCTGTCGTGCCCTGATGGAGTTGAGCTTTGCTCCGCTGATTTCTCTTTTTTTTTTTTTTTGGAAGGTCTGTTGGTGTCGCCCTGCGGCTCGCGCAGGTGCGGTTAGCGGGATCACCCTGGTGGGATACTGGTAGAGGACAGCCTTGGTTCTGCTTTTTGCCATTCCCGTCTCCCGACCCCCTATCTTCTCATCTTTCTCTATCTCTACAACTGACGTCTCTATTTTTCTCTTCTCCTTGTATTTTTTTTTTTAGTTTGGGTTTATACACTTAATCATGCGGAGCTATCTCATTTTGTTCCTTACATCTCGCTGGGGATGCCCCCCTTGAAACTCTGTTTATTCATATCTCCATAATATGTGATACTAGGTTTTTGATCTCTCCATCTTTCTGTTGTATGGAATCATTTTCAGCTACCCACATGGATCATCGTCACATCTGTGATGTGTACTTTTTTTCATTATTTCTCATGCCTTGTTTTGTTAATTTGCTGCAGATTTAATAAAAACAAATTTGCCTTTTTAAATACTCCTCCAACCATCCCCCAGCACAGCAGACCCCCTTCCATTTAGGAGTATAAATAAGTATTTAAGTGCTTCTTTTAAAGGTGTCTTGTTTTGTAAAAGTGACCCTAGGAGAGTCACTTTAAACCAATATTTTACATTCAGCTTGACACTGTTGAGTGCTGTCACATTTTAATTTTTTGTATCTCTGGAGGCACTAGCAGTGCCATGCCTGCATTTGGTTTGCTAGTTCTGTATACTAACTTTGTCAGTTTCTATAAGGTCTCACTCTTAACTGATTTGATTTTTGCAATATGATGCCCAGTAAAAGGAAGTTCAACCTGTCCGGTATTGTCACAGCTTCAACAATGTGTTTGTAATGGCTCCTTTATAAAGCAGAGTATGGATTGAAAAAGCACCAATCCCACAGCAGCAACTGGGAGTGGGGAAATGGCTAGCCTATTCTGGATTAGCTCCCCTTATGCGCCCCCCCCCCCGGCCGAGACACGTACAGTGTGACCCTGCCCACCAAGGACACGATGATGTCAATACTGGACAGGTTGAACTTCCTTTTTACTTTTGACCTTTTTACAAGTCACCTTAAGCCCAGCACACAAAGGCATTTCATACCCAGTTCCACTCCTGTCTGGCTTTTATTTTTTTACATCCATTTTTTGATAAGTAAGTGCACATCACCAACCTTTTGTTTGGATTGCAGCATGGGTACAACTGCCTCATTTTCTGAAATTTATTTATATACACTACATGCCAAGCGTATTAGGGCGCCTGCCTTTACACGCACATGAACTTTAATGGCATCCCAGTCTTAGTCCAGTATTCAGTTGGCCCTCCCATTGCAGCTACAGTACATTCAGAAAGTATTCACAGCGTTTAACTTTTGCCACATTTTGTTATGTTACAACCTTATTCCAAAATGCATTAAATTAATTCTTTCCTCAACATTCTACAAATAATACCCCATAATGACAACGTGAAAGAAAATGAAAAAAAAAAAAACACATGTACATACGTATTCACAGCCTTTGCCTTGACGCTCAAAAGTGAGCTCTGGTGCACCCTGTTCCCACTGATCACCCTTGAGATGTTCCCACAACTTTATTGTAGTCCATCTGTAGGAAATTCAGTGAGTAGACTTGATTAGGAAAGGCATAAACCTGTCTATGTAAGGTCCCAAAGTTAACCGTGCATGTCAAAGCACAAACCAAGCCATGAAGTCCAAAGAGTTGTCTGTAGACCTCCGAGACAGGATTAGGTCAAAGCACAGATCTGGGGAAGGGTACAGAAAAATTTCTTCAGCATTGAAGGTCCCAATGAGCACAGTAGCTTCCATCATCAGTAAATGTAAGAAGTTTGGAACCGCCAAGAATCTTCCTAGAGCGGGCCACCTGGCAAAAAGTGATTTCAAGGAGAAATACCTTAGCCGGGGAGGTAGCCAAGCACCCGATGGTCACTCTGAAAGAGCTCCAGAGTTTCTCGGTGGAGAGAGGAGAACCTTCCAGAAGAATAACCATCTCTGCAGCACTCCACCAATCAGGTCTGTATGATAGAGTGGCCAGATGGAAGCCCCTCCTCAGTAAAAGGCAAATGGCAGCCCATTTGGAGTTTGCAAAAAGGCACCTGAGGGACTCTCAGACCATGAGAAACAAAACTCTCTGGTCTGATGTAGCAAAGATTGAATTCTTTGGCCTGAATGCCAATTGTCATGTCTGGAGCAAACCAGGCACTGCTCACCATCTGGCCAATACCATCCCTACAGTGAAGCATAGTGGTGGCAGCATTATGCTGTGGGGATGTTTTTCAGTGGCAGGAACTGGGAGACTAGTCAGGATCAAAAGAAAGATGAATGCAGCAATGTACAGAGACATCCTTGATGAAAACCTATTCCAGAGCGCTCTGAACCTTAGACTGGGGCCACGGTTCACCTTTCAACAGGACAACGACCCTAAGCACACAGCCCACATAACAAATGAGTGGCTACGGGAGAACTCTGTGAATGACCTGGAGTGGCCCGTACTTGAACCCAATTGAATATCTCTGGAGAGATCTGAAAGTGGCTGTGCACCGACACTCCCCATACAACCTGATGGAGCTTGAGAGGTACTGCAAAGATGAATGGGAGAAATTGCTGAAAAATAGGTGTGCCAAGCTTGTAGCATCATACTCAAAATGACTTGAGGCTGTAATTGGTGCTAAAGGTGTTTCAACAAAGTATTGAGCAAAGGTTGTGAATACTTATGTACATGTGGCTTTTTTCGTTTTTTTTATTTCTAATAAATTGCAAAGCTTTCAAAACGAACTTCTTTCACGTTGGCATTATGGGGTATTGTTTGTAGAATGTTGAGGGAAAAAAAATTAGTTTAATCCATTTTGGAATAAGGCTGTAACATAAAAAAATGTGGGAAAAGTTAAGCGCTGTGAATACTTTCTGGATGCACTGTATAACAGCTGCAACTCTCCTGGGAAGGCTGTCCACAAAGTTTAGGAGTGTGCCTATGGAAATGTTCGACCATTCTTCTAGAAGCGCATTTGTGAGGTCAGGCACTGATGAAAGCCTGGCTCACAGTCTCAACTCTACTTCATCCCAGAGGTGTTCTATCGGGTTGAGGTCAGGAGTCTGCTGGCCAATCAAGTTCCTCCACCCCAAATTCGCTCATCCATGTCTTTTATGGAACTTTCTTTGTGCATTGGTCCGCAGTCATGTTGGAACAGGGCGAGGCCATCCCCAAACTGTTCCCACAAAGTTGGGAGTATGAAATTGTTCAAAATGTCTTGGTATGCTGATGCCTTAAGGGTTCCCTTCACTGGAACTAAGGGGCCAAGCCCAACCCCACACCACAATCCCCCCTCCTTCGAACTTTACATCTGACACAGCGCAGTCAAAGCAAGTACCGGTTTCCTGGCAACCGCCAAACCCAGACACGTCCATCTGATTGCCAGACAGACTGTTGTGTTCTGTCACCTTATAGGATGATGAGTGTATTTATAAATGTATTTTCCTGCAGTACCAAGTTCAATGGTTCTTTTCCAGGGAGAGATACATTTAATCAGCTCAGAAACACATCTGTAAGACAGAGGTACAGAAAAGGCAGATGACGGTACTTAGAATATTAATGCAATTATCAGACACCTTCAGAGGACCTACTTTGTCCTGTCACAACCTACCAAAAGAACCTATCGAATATACACATTTTCCCCATTCAGTAAAATGAAAAGCACTCGGATTGGTCACTTTTAGTAGCCCCTTTGATCTTCTGGGTTACAGTTAATGCTTTTTGGCCTTGGACAGCTGCAGTCATAAATTCTAATCAAAGTTATCCAGATACAGTATTTCCTAAACTGCATTCTTATACCATTAGATAAACCAGTTACCCCTTGCAGAATGCTATTTACCATACGTAATACCCCTTTTCATGTTATTAGATATTAGATGCTGGCCATGTCCCTTCAAGTCTGAGTGCGCAATCTGCATTTTATCACAAGTTTGCAAATTGCCTCCTTTGAAATGTAACAAGTTGGTCCCCAAGTGCCAAGGTGATGTTGCATAAAAATTAACATAGCGAAGAGTCCTTGGCTATCCTTTTTGTTGTGTAAAATACATCTACCTCAGTCAGCTGCTGGCCTGGTCAATAACGTGAATATACCCTTACAATATTTCACACAGAGAAGCATGATTTGTCACTCCACAGAACAAGTCTCCACTGCTCTAGAGATCAGTGGTGGCGTGCTTTACACCACTGCATCCGACTCTTTGCATTGCACTTGGTAATCTAAGGCTTGGATGCAGCTGCTCACCCATGGAAAGCCATTCCTGAAGCTCTCTATGCACTGTTGTGCTAATCTGAAGGCCACATGAAGTTTGTATGTGTTTAGCTATTGGCTGTGCAGACAGTTGGTGACTTCTGCGCACTGTGCACTTCAAAATGCACTGACCCACTCTGTCATTTGAGGCACTATTCCACCCCCCACTGACACCAACGATGGGGCACTATTCCACCCCCACTGACACCAACGATGGGGCACTATTCCACCCCCCACTGACACCAACGATGGGGCACTATTCCACCCCCCACTGACACCAACGATGGGGCACTATTCCACCCCCACTGACACCAACGATGGGGCACTATTCCACCCCCCACTGACACCAACGATGGGGCACTATTCCCCCCCACTGACACCAACGATGGGGCACTATTCCACCCCCCACTGACACCAACGACGGGGCACTATTCCACCCCCCACTGACACCAACGACGGGGCACTATTCCACCCCCCACTGACACCAACGACGGGGCACTATTCCACCCCCCACTGACACCAACGACGGGGCACTATTCCACCCCCCACTGACACCAACGACGGGGCACTATTCCCACCCCCCACTGACACCAACGACGGGGCACTATTCCACCCCCCACTGACACCAACGACGGGGCACTATTCCACCCCCCACTGACACCAACGACGGGGCACTATTCCACCCCCCACTGACACCAACGACGGGGCACTATTCCACCCCCCACTGACACCAACGACGGGGCACTATTCCACCCCCCACTGACACCAACGACGGGGCACTATTCCCCCCACTGACACCAACGACGGGGCACTATTCCACCCCCCACTGACACCAACGACGGGGCACTATTCCACCCCCCACTGACACCAACGACGGGCACTATTCCACCCCCCACTGACACCAACGACGGGGCACTATTCCACCCCCCACTGACACCAACGACGGGGCACTATTCCACCCCCCCCCACTGACACCAACGACGGGGCACTATTCCACCCCCCACTGACACCAACGACGGGGCACTATTCCACCCCCCACTGACACCAACGACGGGGCACTATTCCACCCCCCACTGACACCAACGACGGGGCACTATTCCACCCCCCACTGACACCAACGACGGGGCACTATTCCACCCCCCACTGACACCAACGACGGGGCACTATTCCACCCCCACTGACACCAACGACGGGGCACTATTCCACCCCCCACTGACACCAACGACGGGGCACTATTCCACCCCCCACTGACACCAACGACGGGGCACTATTCCACCCCCCACTGACACCAACGACGGGGCACTATTCCACCCCCCACTGACACCAACGACGGGGCACTATTCCACCCCCCACTGACACCAACGACGGGGCACTATTCCACCCCCCACTGACACCAACGACGGGGCACTATTCCACCCCCCACTGACACCAACGACGGGGCACTATTCCTCCCCCCACTGACACCAACGATGGGACACTTTCCCCCCCACTGACACAATGTTGGGACACTATCCCCTTCCCCCACTGACACCAAAGACGGGGCACTATTCCTCCCCCCACTGACACTAACGATGGGGCACTATTCCTCCCACTGACACCAACGATGGGGCACGATTCTTCCCACTGACACCAACGATGGGGCACTATTCTCCCACTGACACCAACGATGGGGCACTATTCCTCCCACTGACACCAACGATGGGGCACTATTCCTCCCACTGACACCAACGATGGGGCACGTTTCTTCCCACTGACACCAATGATGGGGCACTATTTCACTCCATAAGACACACTTTGGGGGAAATGTCAGTGCGTCTTATGGAGCGGCCGGCCCAGTATTCCCGCCACCGTTGTATGTCCGCAGTCTCTGGTCATCTCCTGTACTGTGTCCGCATTTGTTCATAGTTTTTTTTTTTTTTAACTATAGTCCGGCCCTCCAACGGTCTGAGGGACAGTGAACAGGCCCCCTGTTTAAAAAGTTTGAGGACCCCTGCTCTAGAAAATAAAATAATGGTAGTTCCAATTTTAATGTCACATGATATTACCACAAATGTCTAGGAAACGCAAAATTTCAGTTAAAAATACATTTAAGTTTTAATTTTAGGGCACAAAAAAAGGAATAAATTACCCAATTTTTTGGTCAACTATAAAAGATGAGGTTGCACCGAGTAAATAGATATCCAAGATGTCAAACCTTAAATTTGCGTGCGCTCATGAAATGGCGACAAACTTTCGTACCCTATATTTTCTATAGGCAATGCTTTTAAAGCTCTTCTATAGGTCACCAGTTTAGCGTTACGGAGGAGGTCTGGTGCTTGGATTATTGCTCTCATTCTGTCGTGTGCAGCAATATGTAACGTGTGTCGCTGTCAGCGTTTCCATGCGTAGGCGCCCCAGCGTGTGCTTTTATGTTTGTACGTGCATATATCTGGGGGTGGGGGGGGGGTTATTTGCTTAGATGCAACTTTATTTTTCACAATTAAAAAAGTGTGTGTGTATATATATATATATATATATATATATATATATATATATATATATATATATATATATATATATATACATAAATTTTATTTATTTATTTATTTATTTTTTACCTTTTTTTTTACTTTTTTTTTTTTTATTCCCATCACACGGGACAAAAAGTCTTGGTTAGAAATATCAGTGACGGAAACCTATAGAGAGCATGAAAAGATATTTTGCACAATCTTCAGTGTATTAATAACTATTCATAAAGCTGAGGGACCATATCTTATAGCTATCTATTAATGGCTTAGATCCTAACCGTACAGAAATAAAATAATGTATGGGGGATCTGTGAAATATTTGAATGTATGGAAAACATACACATATACTAACCCTTATTACATCTTAAAGATTTACAGACAGCTTAAAAAAAAATCTTGTCTTGTGCCTGCCTGAGTGACAGGAATGAAAGTAGTCGTGTCATCTCTGGAGGATCCCTTATTTCAGGTATGGCTTAAACAAATGTTGGCACTCTCCCTGTTTGCACATAATGATTACAATCCAGATTTTTTTTCTACTGAAATGTTGTCTTTCTAGTTCAACATGGCCACACCTATCTGCAAGTTTATGCCCTTTAGTCATGGGATTTAGTAGCTGATTTCCACAGGCTTCATACATCAGCCAAAGTCAAAAGGAGATTAGCTAAAAATTATGCTGGAGGAAAGCAATTTTTGTATTATACTGAATTAAAGTATATTTGGACCCTGCATTTTACAATAATGTTTTGCATGTTGCAGGCATAGAGTAATACTCTCTAGGTTTTGTGACATTAAAGTCAATTAAATGCTTTGTTCAATTGCTGTTATCAGTGATTCAGTTCCTGCAGGCCTGGGGCAGTGGGAGGGGGGAGGCTGCTTGAGGTTGCTAGTGACATCACTAAAGCCGGAAGTCCCCTTCTTGCCTGCTAAACAGTCAGAGCAGATGTCAATCAACCAGCAAGGCTGATTCGCTGCAACAGATTGGATGAAGCACAACCTATGGTGTGACCATGCTTCTGCAGCATTGGAAGCTGGTAGTTTTAGCATTGTCACCCTCTTAAAGGAAGGAGTTGCAAAGAGCAGAAATTGGCATGATCAACAGTTTATTTTTTTATAACATTTTCTCACATAAAAACCCTTCAATGACAACATTTACAAGGGAGCAAATTTAGTACTGGGGACTCCATACACATAAGGTCCTAGGCATAATAAAGCATACAAAAGCAGAGTAAGCTGGGTATGTTGTATTGTTCTATACATTGGCTCCAACCTGTGGATAAATATAAAGTGACAAAGCTAACAGCAGCATAAGCTATCAGCTCTTAATGTCTGGTATCCACATTCAGTGTTTTTTTTTTTTTTGTTGGTTGGTTGTTTTTTTTTCTTTTGTTTGAAACCAGCAGGCTGAACAAAAATAAAAGAATTTGAAATGGTTGTATCAACTAAGCAATGTCAGTACATCAATCTCTCCCACTGTCTCTTTGGGTTACTACAAGGGGATTCCCCTTGGCTTCAAACGCTGGTTGGATACTGGTTTTCCAGAGTGTTCCTTCGACAAAAGCCAGTCCTTAGATCAGCTTAAGTCGGAAGAACAATGGGTATGCCAAATCAGTTTTTCACTGTTTATGTATCTACACTGGGATCCGGGCAGTGTTGAGTTAGTGCTGTCATTTTATTTAAACCCCACTGCTACGTGCCCTCAAAAGAAAAAAAAATTAAAACATGTACATTATCATTATGGAATAGGCATATTTTGCTAATTGTGGCTGTTTGTGTATGTGAAAGACACAGTATTCATTGCTAAATGCTAAAAAGCGTGATCTAGATCAGTGTTTTTCAACCTTTTTTGTGCAAAGGCACACTTTTTTTTCATGAAAAAAATCACGAGGCACACCACCATTAGAAAATGTTAAAAAAATTTACCTCTGTGCCTATATTGACTATATATAAAGTAATTCTCTTGAATAGGAATCAAACACAAAGAAATTATTTTATAATTACTTTATTATGAAATAATAAAGTATTTTATAATTGGACCCGGGGGCCGGACCAAGAGTAGATGAATGATGTGTATGTGTCATCCATAGTAAGTATAGTAATATTCCCCCATAGTAAGCATAGTAATTAATCCCCCATATAGTAATTCATCCCCCATAGTAATTAATCCCCCATATAGTAATTCATCCCCCATAGTAATTCATCCTCCATATAGTAATTCATCCCCCATAGTAATTCATCCCCCATAGTAATTAATCCCCCATATAGTAATTCATCCCCCATAGTAATTCATCCCCCATAGTAATTAATCCCCCATATAGTAATTCATCCCCCATAGTAATTAATCCCCCATATAGTAATTCATCCCCCATATAGTAATTCATCCCCCATAGTAATTCATCCCCCATATAGTAATTCATCCCCCATAGTGTAATTCATCCCCCATAGTGTAATTCATCCCCCATAGTAATTCATCCCCCATAGTAATTCATCCCCCATATAGTAATTCATCCCCCATATAGTAATTCATCCTCCATATAGTAATTCATCCCCCATAGTAATTCATCCCCCATATAGTAATTCATCCCCCATAGCAATTCATCCCCCGTATAGTATTTCATCCCTCGTATAGTATTTCATCCCCCGTATAGTATTTCATCCCCCGTATAGTATTTCATCCCCCATATAGTATTTCATCCCCCATATAGTATTTCATCCCTCATATAGTATTTCATCCCCCATATAGTAATTCATCCCTCATATAGTATTTCATCCCTCATATAGTATTTCATCCCCCCATATAGTATTTCATCCCTCATATAGTATTTCATCCCCCATATAGTATTTCATCCCTCATATAGTAATTCATCCCCCCATATAGTATTTCATCCCCCCATATAGTATTTCATCCCCCCCATATAGTATTTCATCCCCCCATAGTATTTCATCCCTCATATAGTAATTCATCCCCTGATATAGTAATTCATCATCCCCATATAGTATTTCATCCCCCCATATAGTATTTCATCCCTCATAAAGTAATTCATCCCTCATATAGTATTTCATCCCCCACAGTACTATTCCCCCCCCCCCCCTTCTAGTAAGCCAAGTCCCCCGTGTCAAATTCACTTACCTTTTGCGTTCCTCTCGCTGTCTTCCCGCGCCGTTCGGGTCTTCAGGGCGGACTGTGAGAGGAGCCTAGCTCCCCTCCCCTCACGTTCGGCACGCTGCCCCGCCTACACACATCCTGACAGCCACATCCGCAAGCCGGATTAAAAGGTCCGCGCGGACTTTTGGGGCTGCCAACCGAGAGGAGGCAGGGGAGCGGCCGACCGAGAGGAGGGAGGGGAGCAGGCGCCCGGCACACAGAAGAGCCGCATTAGACTGGGTAAAGAGCCGCATGTGGCTCGCGAGCCGCGGCTTGCCGACCACTGAATCATTAGATTCTAATGATTGGTCTATTTGTGAGCCGAAGCCACATGTTACAGATGAAATTGGAATTTTTCCCACGGCACACCAGACAATATCTCACGGCACACTAGTGTGCCGCGGCACAGTGGTTGAAAAACGCTGATCTAGATAATGTGAAGTGTTTTACATAGGACGTTGGGCGGGTGCTGTCACATGCAATTTTGCTAATTCATCTTGCCAAGTGCAGACAAAAACATCAAACAACATCTTTCCCTCCAGTGTAACAATGCTGTGTTCCTTTTTCATCAGACAGTGTCATGAATGGATATCAATCTTCTCCTTATCCAGAAATTGATCAATTCATATGGTCCCTTGTCACAAGAGAAGGCTTCCAAGGAGGTATGTTCCCTAGGGTTTGTGCCATTTATAGCTAAAATGTTATTTCATGCTCTTAGTCCTCAAAGGAAAGTAGCTATTGCCGCCCTTTTCTTGAAATGCTGGATGCCTGGCTTTGTTACTGACCCTCTGGCTTAAACTCTTTGTGAGCCACTGACCTAAGGCAATTATAGGTTGGAAGAATCAAAAGTATTTATCTGCTTATTTGTTCTGGGTCAGATAGAACCAGGTAAGTAGAATTTTCAAAAGAGGTCCACAGTGGCTACCAGAGAAACTGGTACTTGCTTTCTTTTAATGTAATCTTGTGCTTGGGTACTTGGTTTGCAAAATTACAAATTGTAATGTATGTGATTGTAGGGCTCCATTACACCATGTGAACTAATCATGTTTCTGGGATTACTTGATGGTTTAACTCTAGGTAAATGTAATGAAATGTTTGCAAATGGTTTTACATCAATACCACATAAGACTACTGGGGCCCATTTATAATATACAGTTGATATTCCCTATATACCACAATGTTTGTCCACATTGCAGCCTGCATTTTACAGCCTATTCATAAAATGCAGGCATGGTCTGGCGTGTCCCACAGAGTTTTCTTTGCATTATGGATCACAAGAAACTCCCAAGATTGGAGCAGAGGCCAGTCACATGACTTTGGCAGGCTCTCCATTTGATTTAATAGTGCTCCAGAGCTATGTACATTTATGGATCGCTATGTTTTTTTGTACATTTTTAAGCTGAACTCTAGGAAACCTAAAATTCACCCTTGCAGTTGGGCTGCAGCTCTGCACCCCAGCAGCCAAAGGTCCTGACATCATCAAGACCAATACAAGGTCTATAGCCCTGCATTGGATGTGAGGATGCCAGGGTAGAGTCCACCACCAGAACATTGGGGAAAGGGAGACTGTGTAAGAAAAAAATGTTCTTACTGACGTCCTAGAGAATGAGCACTTAACCCTTGCAGAATGTGGGGCCATCCTCACGGCGTGGGAGCATTTTTATGCTTTCTAGCAGTTGGGCATTAAACTTCCAATTATTTTAATAGGACTCACATTTGTGAAGTGCATCACCATGCTTTATAAAGGTACAGTATTTTTTTAAATGACTGTAATAAGGCCATAGCACTGTTTCAAAATTTCCTTCTACTGTAGGTGTTCAGTGACACCAAATGTTCAGATCAGAGGCTCCAGATGGTGTACACTGTATAACTTTGTTTCCCTGTATACCTGTACTGTTGATTTGGATTGATACTTTCTGCCTGCTCAGCACAGACTTACAGAAATGCTATTCTGTATATTAATACAGTATATATGTACAGTGGGGATCGAACGTTTGGGCACCCCAGCTAAAAATTTGTATTAATGTGCATAAAGAAGCCAAGGAAAGATGGAAAAATCTCCAAAAGGCATCAAATTACAGATTAGACATTCTTATAATATGTCAACAAAAGTTAGATTTTATTTCCATCATTTACACTTTCAAAATAACAGAAAACAAAAAAATGGCGTCTGCAAACGTTTGGGCACCCTGCAGAATTTATAGCATGCACTGCCCCCTTTGCCAAGCTGAGACCTGCCAGTGTCATGGATTGTTCTCAATCATCGTCTGGGAAGACCAGGTAATGTCAATCTCAAAGGTTTTAAATGCCCAGACTCATCTGACCTTGCCCCAACAATCGGCTCCATGGGTTCTTCTAAGCAGTTGTCTAGAAAACTGAAACTGAAAATAGTTGACGCTCACAAAGCTGAGGAAGGCTATAAGAAGATAGCAAAGCGTTTTCAGATGTCAATATCCTCTGTTCGGAATGTAATTAAGAAATGGCAGTCATCAGGAACAGTGGAAGTTAAAGCAAGATCTGGAAGACCAAGAAAAATATCAGACAGAACAGCTCGCAGGATTGTGAGAAAAACACAATTCAAAACCCACGTTTGACTGCACAATCCCTCCAGAAAGATCTGGCAGACACTGGAGTTGCGGTACACTATTCCACTATAAAGAGATACTTGTACAAATATGGTCTTCATGGAAGAGTCATCAGAAGAAAACCTCTTCTACATCCTCACCACAAAAATCATCGTTTGAACTTTGCAAATGAACATATAGACAAGCCTGATGCATTTTGGAAACAAGTTCTGTGGACCGATGAGGTTAAAATTGAACTTTTTGGCCGGAATGAGCAAAGGTACGTTTGGAGAAGAAGGGGCACAGAATTTAATGAAAAGAACCTCTGTCCAACTGTTAAGCATGGGGTTGGATCAATCATGCTTTGGGGTTGTGTTGCAGCCAGTGGCACAGGGAACATCTCACGAGTAGAAGGAAAAATGGATTCAATAAAATTTCAGCAAATTTTGGATGGTAACTTGATGCCATCTGTGAAAAAGCTGAAGTTAAAGAGTGGATGGCTTCTACAAATGGATAATGATCCTAAACACACCTCAAAATCCACAGGGGATTACATCAAGAGGCATAAACTGAAGGTTTTGCCATGGCCTTCACAATCTCCTGACCTCAACATAATTGAAAATCTATGGATAGACCTTAAAAGAGCAGTGCGTGACAGACAGCCCAGAAATCTCAAAGAACTGGAAGACTTTTGTAAGGAAGAATGGGCAAAGATACCTCAAACAAGAATTGAAAGACTCTTGGCTGGCTACAAAAAGCGTTTACAAGCTGTGATACTTGCCAAAGGGGGCAGTACAAGATATTAACTCTGCAGGGTGCCCAAACTTTTGCAGACACCATTTTTTTGTTTTCTGTTATTTTGAAAGTGTAAATTATAGAAATAAAATCTAACTTTTGTTGACATATTATAAGAATGTCTAATCTGTAATTTGATGCCTTTTGGAGATTTTTCCATCTTTCCTTGGCTTCTTTATGCACATTAATACAAATTTTTAGCTGGGGTGCCCAAACTTTCGATCCCCACTGTATGTTTCTGGGGATTTACACAAACTACTCTTCTGCTTGCTCATGCAGTAAAAAACACAATGTAGAAATAGTAATAAACATTAAACCATTGATATGAGAACTCCTACATTTTAGGTCTCATTCACATACATAAAAGATTTTTTTTTTTCAGGTGAATGCAGCTCTATTTAGCCAATGTATCCATGCATATTGTGCCCTTTTTATATTTGTATTTTATAGCAGTGCTAAGGGGAATTAATTAAAAAAGGCCCCAAATCTGCGTTCAGAGAGAAGAGCTTACTGGCATATTTTATACATACAGTATATGAGTGTAAATGCGCACAAATTCTTTCTAACGGCTAGAATAAATCAGTATTCTAGCCAACAAATGAGTTTATGCACATGCGCTTTTAAATTCTATGAGGGCTCTTCAAAAAGTTTCCGCACTTTTTTAACGTGTGTGTGTATTTAGTATTCACAGGTTAATATAAGCTTTATTTTTTTGTGCCAGAAAGAACGGCGTAGATGGATCCAGAGTAGTGTAGTGTAGCCTTATTGTTTACTTTGTGGCAAAATTTCTGATCATTTTGGTGCAGTTTTATTTGCAATTATTATATGCGGCATACAAATGTCAAACATTTTTCTTGTATTAAAATAAGATTTTGTTTTATGTAATTTGCACAAGGTATTCGGCAGTGGAACTACTTTACTTTAGAGGAATTGCTTGTCTATGACACAACCAACTACCGCTGGTGCGAAAACATAGGCCGTGCTCACAAAAGCAATAATGTCATGTAAGTTGTTTCTTTTTATAAATGTATTCACCACAAAGACCAGTCAGACATAAGTTATATTTTATTGTAGTTAAGCAAAAATAGAAACATTGCTATGGTTCTAATAACACCCCTCCTTTTTATATTTTATTGTTTGGTATATATGGTGTACATTATTTTATGTATTTGTGTTACAGAGAGTTAAAAGTAAATGTTGGATATACTTGGTTGTTAAAGCAAGCATGAATTGAAAGGATTCCTGCACCTACAGTGTAAAGGAGGTTGGGTTAATTAAAGAGCCAAACTAAATGTTATAAATACATAAGCATTAGGGAATACCTAAAATTAAAAACAGAAACATCAGCACAAGGGACTTTAACTTAGAGTCAGTAGGATGCGTTCCTTGTGCTGATTTCTCTTCTTTTAGTTGAAATCTGCCTCCGTCCCTGAACCCCACCCACTCCCTAATCTTCTAGTGCAGCAGGGGTTAATACAACTAAGAGTCTGTCACAGCCTCTCATCAAGAGAGCCTGACTATGCCCACCCTTTCCACCTAGCTGCTTCAATCATAGAAACCGTACTACAGCTTCTATGAGTAAAACAGAATCGGCTGTAAGAATGGAGGATGATGAAAGGTCCACCCCCTCCATTCATAGATCCCAATTCATTCATAAAAGTTGTAGTACTGCACAGCTAGCAAAGGGTGGGCGTAGTGGGGCTCTGTCTTGATGAAGATTACAAGGGTAAAGGGGCAGGGAGGGAAGATTTTAACTATAAGAAGTGGGAAATGCCACAAAGGACACCTCCTACTGACTGTAAGCTATGTCCTTTGTGCTGATTTTTCTGTTTTTTTATTTTTCACAACACTTCACTTCCTTTTTCAAGTGTCCTAAGCCCTTAGTTATCATCAAGTGTCATCATCCTGCATTCCCATAACATATATCTTAAAACCCAAAGTCTTTGATGTTCTATATGTTACAAGGCAGTGTGTGACATAACCTGCCTTCCTGCATCCCAAGCTGGATGGGGTGAGAAGGACAACAGGTGGGGTGAAAATAGAGAAAAGAACCAGCATTTGTACACCATCAGGTAAATTTTACTACTACTACTACATTCATTGTGCAAGTATGCTTTAATGTTAGGCTGGTCATGTGGGCTGAACAAGGGAAATAACCTGATTCACTCATCCACACTAAACAGTGTGAATGGATTTGGCCACGAATTTGCTGCCCAGCTCTCTAGACAAAAATCAATTGAAAAGTTGACTGTTGTCAAGCCGGGTGGTGTCGACAGGGCCACTCACGGAACAAATTCAATCTGTGAGCCAGCTTAAGCAAGATTACCTCTGTGAAGCTGATCCTTACCAATGCATTATGCCACATGGATGGACAAAGTTACACAGTTGTTGGATGCCATTTAGAGCAATCTATGTACAACTTAAAGGATAAGTTCACCTTTTGGACAAATATAATAAATGCACATTTTTTTGCAGGTGCAAAAATGTACACCACAAAATTCTCACATAAAAAGTATGGATTTAGCTCAGCACCTCAACCCAAAGAAGGCATTTTCTAAATCATGTATCAAAAAATAGAAAAATGATGAACAAAGTTTTCTATACCGACAGATATCTTTGACTAACAATTAACTTTATTAATGAAAAGCGAGTGCACATTGAACATATAAACACACTCATTAAAAGGTGTCAAGCGTCACATCTAAAGATCAATTGGATATCTTTGATCAAAGTGATACATAAATATATTTGTCATATCTTCATAATAAACCAATTGGATGCCAATCAAAGCTGAACGCTCTCAGGACAAAGGGGCAGTCATAGAGGACAAATAGGGATAAATAGAGTGGCCACAAGGTCTTATTAAATGCACAGCATGCTGAACAGGTATTAATCCACGGTCAGTCCTATATACAGTTGGCAAGGATATATATTGAGTGGATTCCTGAATCTACAGATCTATTGGTATGTCATGGATAGAGGATGAGTCAAAATAGTCCCAGTATGCTTTATACTAAAGTTTATATCAAGTATGGCTCTACTTTGCGATCCTGTTTATAGACCGTAATATATAAGATGTAGCCACAAAACATCCAAGCCAGAGAAGTATTAACCATACGTGGTCCAGAGGAGAAGAGTACTGTTATAAGGATATTCTAAGGATGTATGTTAACACAAAGTCACTTTATGTGGACATCAGCCTCACTCGCACTTGTGATTGCTGCTATGTAGCCTATTGTACTCTGGCTTGATTTTCCAGTACTGATATCCTGTGCATATGCTGGCTCCAACACGAAAGATGGATCCTGGATGGAGTAGCAGTTTAAAGAATGAGGCCTTCTTCAAACAGACAATTTATGTAGGTGGACAATGTCCCTTTTTAGAAAATATATTTGATTGGTATACTTATTAGTCCATTCTTAAGCGCAGTCTTGATCCAGACATGGCCAATGACTTGCCAGCCGATAAGGCTGTCGGGACTTGTAGGCACTCATTCACAGAAAGTTGTGAATGAGTGACGGGGCCATGTGGGTATAAGGAAACTTTTCCCCATACTATCTGTGAGAGGGAAGGGGGGCAGTAGGCGCAGCTGCAGCTATGGTGGGCGCAGCTGCAGCTATGGGAACATGTTACATGTTCCATCCTAAAAAACGGGTGGAATGTGTAACATGTTCCAAAGGTGAACTTATCCTTTAAACCACTTACAAAAAATTGGGCCTAAGCATTTCAGTACCTTGTTCATATATTGCCAATAGAGTTAAAAGCATTTTTGATGTCTAGGGCCACCATTACTCTACTCTAGTATGAGAATTATCAAAGAGAAGCTGAAGATGGGTAAATACTCTAAGATTTATATCAGTGGATTTGCCTGACATAAATCCTGTTTGATAAATGCTGATTAAAGAAGGAAGAACTTTCATGATCCTTGTCACTAGGACTTTGGTTGGGATTTTAAAGTCATAATTTAGTAGGGCAATAGGTCTATATGAAGCACAATAGCATAGGTCTTTATTAGGTTTAGGGAGCACAACTATGTGAGCTTGGTACATGGAGGGAGGCAACTTCCCAGACTCAAGAAGTTTAGGGACAATAAAGGAGGCATGTTCTTTATACCATTCTCCACGTAAACCATCGGGACCAGAGATCTTGCTATTAGGAAATGAAAAAATAGCAGCTTCATTTTCTAGAGTTGTAAGTGGAACCTCTAGACCTTCCACCTCCTCAGATGCAAGTTGGAGCAATGAAAGGCTGGAGAGCACCCCTTGTAAATTTTGATCCTGGTCCACACCAGGGTCCGCAAGTTTCCCATTTTTGTTGCGTTTACACACACTGAAGCGCGTGAAGCATTTTTTTTTTCTGCCAAAATGCTGCTGCGCCAGGACACACTGGCAGTGCGGTTTTTTTTTTTTTTTCGCTAATAAACCCTCATGCCACAAAACACTGCTAAAAGCCTATGTGTGCATGGACACATAGACTAACATGCAGGGGAGTTTAGAGGCAGTAAAAAAAAAAAAAATAAAGCCTAACACCCCTAGAAGTAGCTTCAAAAACACCCAGTGTGCATAAGACTTTATACAGTAGTTTCTTGTTTTGAACTATTTCATTGTGTACAGGGCACCTAACCTCTCTAGTCTAGGTTGTTACCTACAATGGTTATAAAAAGTCTGCATACCCCTGTTTAAAATGTCGGGTTTCCGTGATGTAAAAAAAAATGAAACAAAGATAAATCATTTAAGAACTTTTTCCACCTTTTTAATGTGACCTATAAACTGTACAACTCAATTTGAAAACCAAATTGAAATCTTTTAGTGGGGGGGAAACATAAAAAATAATGCAGTTGCATAAGTGTGCACACCCTCTTATAACTGGGGATGTAGCTGTGTTCAGAATTAAGTAATCTCATTCAAAATCATGTTAAATAGGAGTCAGTACACACCTGCCATCATTTTAAAGTGCCTCTGATTAACCCAAAATAGAGTTCAGCTGTTCTAGTAGTTCTTTCCTGACATTTTCTGAGTTGCATCCTACAGCAAAAGTCATGGTACACAGAGAGATTCCAGAGCATCAAAGGGATCTCATTGTTAAAAGGTTCTCAGTCAGGAGAAGGGTACAAAAGAATTTCCAAGGCATTAGATATACCATGGACCACAGTGAAGACAGTCATCATCAAGTGGAGAAAATATAGCGCAACAGTGACATGACCAAGAACTGGATGTCCCTCCAAAATTGATGAAAAGACGAGAAGAAAACTGGTCTAGGAGGCTGCCAAGAGGCCTACAGCAACATTCACGGAGCTGCAGGAATATCTGGCAAGTACTGGCTGTGTGGTATATGTGAGAACAATCTCCCGTATTCTTCATATGTCTGGGCTATGGGGTAGAGTGGCAAGATGGAAGCCTTTTCTTACAAAAAAAAAAACCCATCCAAGCCCCGCTAAATTTTGCAAAAGCACATCTGAAGTCTCCCAAAAGCATGTGGGAAAATGTGTTATGGTCTGATGAAACCAAGGTTGAACTATTTGGCCAGAATTCCAAAAGATTTGATTGGCACAAAAGCACTGCACATAACCAAAAGAATGCCATACCCACAGTGAAGCATGGTGGTGGGAACATCATGCTTTGGGGCTGTTTTTCTTCAGCTGCAACTGGGGCTTTAGTCAAGGTAGAGGGAATCATGTATAGTTCCAAAATATCAGTCAATATTGGCACAAAACCTTCAAGCTTGTACTAGAATGCTGAACATGAAGAGGAACTTCATCTTTCAGCATGACAACAACCCAAAGCATACATCCAAATCAACAAAGGAATGGCTTCACCAGAAGACGATTAAAGTTTTGGAATGGCCCAGACCTGAATCCGATCGAAAATCTGTGATCTGAACAGTAGTTGCCGTAATTTGACAGATTTGGAGTGTTTTTGCAAGGGAAATTGGGTACATATTGCCAAGTCAAGATGTTCCATGCTGATAGACTCCTACCCAAAAAGACTGAGTGCTGTAATAAAATCAAAAGGTGCTTAAACAAAGTATTAGTTTTAAGGTGTGCACACTTATGCAGCCATATTATTTTATTTTTTTATTTTTTCTTCCCTCCACCTAAAAGATTTCAGTTTGTTGTTCAACTGAGTTGTACAGTTTATAGGTTACATTAACCACTTGAGCCCCAGAGGATTTACCCCCCTTAATGACCAGGCCTTTTTTTGCTGTTTGGTGCTGCACTAATTCAAATGATAATTGCGCGGTGATGCAATGCTGTACCCAAACGAAATTTAAGCCAAAATGTATTCTGCTACATGTTTTTGGTAAAAAAAATCCCAATAAGTGTATATTGATTGCTTTGTGTGAAAGTTATAGCGTCTACACGCTATGGTATAGATACTGTAATGTATGCCTTTTTTTGCTATACAGCGCTGCACTAATTCAAATGATAATTGCGCGGTCATGCAATGCTGTACCCAAACAAAATTTACGTCCTTTTTTTCACACAAATAGAGCTTTCTTTTGGTGGTATTTGATCACCTGTGCGCTTTTTATTTTTTGCGCTATAAACAAAAAAAACCACAAAAATTTTGAAAAAAAAAAACAATATTTTCTACTTTCAGCTATAAAAAATATATCGTAAACTCAAAGTTAGTCATAAATTTAAGCCAAAATGTATTCTGCTACATGTTTTTGGTAAAAAAAAAATCCCGTGCATTAGCGGACAAACTGGCGCTATCTAGGAGGGGCGCTAACACTATCGGAAGTCACCAGTGACACTAATACAGTGATCAGTAAAAATCTGTTCACTGTAATCAATGACACTGGTGACAGGGCAGTGAAGGGGTTAACTGGGGGGGAGGGGGGCGATCAAGGGGTTAAATGGGATTTCTGGTGCACTAGCGGGCAAACTGGCGCTATCTGGGAGGGGCGCTAACACTATCGGAAGTCGCCAGCAACACTGATACAGTGATCAGTAAAAAATCTGTTCACTGATCAATGACACTGGTGACAGGGCAGTGAAGGGGTCAACTCAGGGGGGGGGCGATCAAGGGGTTAGACAGGATTATTGGTGTATTAGCGGGCAATCTGGCGCTATCTGGGAGGGGCGCTAACACTATCGGAAATCGCCAGCGACACTGATACAGTGATCAGTAAAAATCGGTTCACTGATCAGTGACACTGGTGACAGGGCAGTGAAGGGGTTAACTGGGGGGGGGGGGGAGATTAAGAGGTTAAATGGGATTACTGGTGTACTAGCGGGCAATCTGGCGCTATCTGGGAGGGGCGCTAACACTATCGGAAGTCGCCAGCGACACTGATACAGTGATCGGTAAAAATTGGTTCGCTGATCAGTGACACTGGTGACAGGGCAGTGAAGGGGTTAACTGGGGGGGGGGGGGCGATCAAGGGGTTAAGCGGGATTACTGGTGTACTGGCGGGCAATCTGGCGCTATCTGGGAGGGGTGCTAACACTATCGGAAGTCGCCAGCGACACTGATGCAGTGATCAGTAAAAATCGGTTCACTGATCAGTGACACTGGGGACAGGGCAGTGAATGGGTTAACTGGGGGGGCGATCAAGGGGTTAAACGGGATTACTGGTGTACTGGCGGGCAAACTGGCGCTATCTGGGAGGGGCGCTAACTCTATCGGAAGTCGCCAGCGACACTGATGCAGTGATCAGTAAAAATTTGGTTCACTGATCAGTGACACTGGTGACAGGGCAGTGAAGGGGTTAACTGGGGGGGCGATCAAGGGGTTAAACGGGTTTACTGGTGTACTGGCGGGCAAACTGGCGCTATCTGGGAGGGGCGCTAACTCTATCAGAAGTCGCCAGCGACACTGATACAGTGATCAATAAAAATTGGTTCACTGATCAGTGACACTGGTGACAGGGCAGTGAAGGGGTTAACTGGGGGGGCGATCAAGGGGTTAAACGGGATTACTGGTGTACTGGCGGGCAGTCTGGCGCTATCTGGGAGGGGCGCTAACACTATCGGAAGTCGCCAGCGACACTGATACAGTGATCAGTAAAAATTGGTTCACTGATCAGTGACACTGGTGACAGGGCAGTGAAGGGGTTAACTGGAGGGGGGGGGGGGCGATCAAGGGGTTAAACGGGATTACTGGTGTACTGGCGGGCAATCTGGCGCTATCTGGGAGGGGCGCTAACTCTATCGGAAGTCGCCAGCGACACTGATCAGTAAAAATCGCTTCACTGATCAGTGACACTGGTGACAGGGCAGTGAAGGGTTAACTGGGGGGGGGGGGGGGCGATCAGGGGGTTAAATGTGTCCTAGAGTGTTCTAACTGTAGTGTAGTGCTTGTGTACTCACTTTTTGGATGTCTTCTTCTCTGTCTGGAACGGAATGTGTCCAGGCAGAGAAGAATGACATCATATCCTGCCCTGTGTATTTGTCAACACAGGACAGGATAGGACAGGGACCGATCATGTGATTTCAGCCAGAAATCACTGGCTGAAATCTAATGATTGATCCCTCCTGGATCAAATCGTGTCACCCGCGGGTCGGCGGGAGCGCGCGCGTGCGCCCCCTGCCGGCGAAAGTGTCGGGAGCGCGGAACCCGTTTTTAAAACGTGGTTTTGCGCTCCACTGCCGCCCTGCACACGTATATACACAGTGGCAGGGCGGCAAGCGGTTAAAGGTGGAAAAAGTTCTGAAATGATTTATCTGTGTCTCGTTTATTTACATCACAGAAGCCTGACATTTTAACGGGCGTGTGGACTTTTTATATCCACTGTATATCCTGACTTTTCCTAACTATATACACAGTGTTTACATCTTCTTATGATCATATTCCTTCATTGCTCATGTGGCAGTAGAGTATTTGTTTGGGGTTCATTAATGTAAATGAATCCATTTTAACATTGTAATCATTACTATTGATAACAACAAGTCAGATGTTTAGCTTCCCTAGATTTTTAATCAGACTTGCAAAGGCCTATTTTTGATTGATAACTTCTTAACTCCTGTAAATACCACATAACACCGAACGTGGCTTTCTTCAATTGACTGTGTGCTTGTTTGAAGGATTGATACTATCTGGCAGCACATCCAAAGTTACTATGAGCAGTGATTGTTTTACCACTATGCATGCCCTGCATACATGGAAGAGTGTAATTTAGTGAGGAACAGGTAACCAAAACTTGTATTATTGATAGTTGAATTAATACAGCCCAAAAAGGGTCTTTTCACATGCAGCAACGTCTACGTTCACCTGAAGTGAGTGCACGTTGCTTTACACTTGCATGGACATTGTCTGGCTCTGTTCACTAGGATTTCATTGTTGTATCTCTCTCTTTAGGCTTCTGGTAGATCTGAAGAGAGATGTTTGGTATCAGAAATGCCACGATCCAATCTGCAGGGCACAGAACTTTAAGTCTGATTGTAAGTCATTTTTGTCACATCATTGCACTTGTTTTGTTTTGTTTTTTACCAAATATACTGTAATCTAGCAAATTATTATAAAAATATTCTATAGATTATATTATGATTTTTTGATTTATTGTATTTTATATGCTAAGTTTGTATCAGTTTTTTTTCGTTTAAGGTATAATAGAATAATAAAAATAATTATTATAACACCTCTATTGTATGATCATCACTGTTGTGCTTTGGTTTTATCATAGGTTTTTCTTTACCTCCTGAAATATGTCTTCCATCTATTTTTAAAGAGGTATGTGCTATGCTCATGTTTAAAAGAAAAGTGTGGGATTAAAAAAAAACAACCCTTCATACTCACCTAGGTGGATGCAGCATTGATCTGATACTGCACCTGTCCCTCACTGTCTCTAGGCTTGAGAACGGAGTGATCAATGACTGCCGATCGCTCAGTTCTCGGTCTTCAGTGAGCAGAGAGTTGATGACTGTCAGTCACCTCTCTGCTCTGCCCATCCAGCTCTCACTGGAGCACTGCCCTGTGGAAGGGGTGGAAGTGGCTGGCTCAAGCTCTCAGTGGCATGCTAATAGGTTGAGCAAGCTGCTTGTCAGGCATCTGGGTAGATCCTGACATTAAAGTTGGGATCCCTCCAGAGCCTGGACCAGCTGAATGACGTCAGCCAACAGTGGACCTACAGTGCCTTGAAAAAATATTCATACCCCTTGACATTTTCCACATTTTGTCATGTTACAACCAAAAACATAAATGTCTTTTATTGGGATTTTATGTGATAGACCAACACAAAGTGGCACATAAGTGGAAGGAAAATTGATAAATGGATTTCACATTTTTTTTTTTTACAAATATCTGAAAATTGTGGCGTGCATTTGTATTCAGCCCCCTTTTACGCTGATACCCTTAATTGAAATCTAGTGGAACTAATTGCCTACAAAAGTTACCTGTTTAGTAATTAGAGTCCACCTATGTGTAATTTGATCTCATTATAAATACAGCTGTTCTGTGAAGTCCTCGGAGGTTTGTTAGAGAACATGAGTGAACAAACAGCATCATGAAGGCCAAGGAGCACACCAGACAGGTCAGGGATAAAGTTGTGGAGACGTTTAATGATGGGTTAGGTTATAAAAAAAAAAAAAAATATCCCAAGCTTTGAACATCTCACAGAGCACTGTTCAATCCATCATCTGAAAATGGAAAGAGTATGGCACAACTGCAAACCTACCATGACGTGGCCGTCCACCTAAACTGACAGGTCAGGTAAGGAGAGCATTAATCGGAGAAGCAGCCAAGAGGCCCATGGTAACTCTGGAGGAGCTGCAGAGATCCACAGCTCAGGTGGGAGAATCTGTCCACAGGACAACTATTAGTCATGCACTCCACAATTCTGGTCTTTATGGAAGAGTGTCAAGAAGAAAGCCATAAGATGTCCCATTTGCGAGAAGCCATGTGGGGGACACCGCAAACGTGGAAGAAGGTGCTCTGGTCAGATGAGACCAAAATTTTACTTTTTGGCCTTAAAGCAAAACGCTATGTGTGGCAGAAAACTAACACTGCACATCACCCTGAACACACCATCCCCACCGTGCAAAATGGAGGTGGCAGCATCATGTTGTGGGGATGCTTTTCTTCAGCAGGGACAGGGAAGTTGGTCAGAGTTGATGGGAAGATGGATGGAGTCAAATACAGGGAAATCTTAGAAGAAAACCTGTTAGAGTCTGCAAAAGACTTGAGTCTGGGGCGGAGGCTCACCTTCCAACAGAACAACGACCCTGAACATACAGCCAGAGCTACAATGGAATGGTTTAGATCAAAGCATATTCATGTGTTAGAATGGCCAAGTCAAAGTCCAGACCTAAATACAACTGAGAATCTGTGGCAATACTTGAAAATTGCTGTTCAGACTCTATCCATCCAATCTGACAGAGCTTAAGCTATTTTGCAAAGAAGAACGGCCAACAACTTCACTCTCTAGATGTACAAAGCTGGTAGAGACATCCCCAAAAAAGACTTGCAGCTGTAATTGTAGTGATAGGTGGTTCTACAAAGTATTGACTCGGGGGCTGAATACAAATGCACGCCACACTTTTCAAATATTAATTTGTAAAAAATTTTGAAAACCATTTACCATTTTTCTTCCACTTCACAATTATGTGCCACTTTGTGTTGTTATGGTGCTGGCGGCTGTCTCATCCAGACCATGACAACTCATGAAGCGGATCCAGGAAAAAACAATTTTTTGTGCTTACACCACCCTGGTTAAACACTGGTACAGCCTTTTTTAGCCAGGGTGGCTTCTGGATTCTTCAGGGGGGGTGCCATGGCAAAATGCCTAAATGTGCTTCAAATTACCCAAAAATTGTGTACAAGACAGTGGGCGAATCAAGCCTACTTTTTTGTTATACAAAGCCACAGGTTTCCTAACAGCCATTGACATCATTGGTTGATGAGGAGGACATCGGGCACCTGCATAACATCCTTATTTGACCCTCCATCCCTCTCCTTCAGTTTTGGAGACACAGCTGCATTGGGGAGAGAAAATAAGGAAGAAGAATTGCTGGAATACTAGTCAATACCAGTGTATGAAAATATATTTGCTTTGGAATAATAGGTCACCTTTAATGTTGGGTGTCTTATGTGTGTAGATGCTGCTGCATTATGTAAAACTATTAAGTTAGTTATTTAAATGGGGTGCCTCAAGATTGTCCATAATTTTAATGCTCGGTTCACACTGCCACGACTTGGGATCTGATTTGTGAGACTCCAAGTTGCATGACATGTAAAATCCCATGTTAGTCAATGAGAGTGTCTTAATTAGCACTACTAAAGTCTCTCCGACTTTAGAAAAGGTTCCTGTACTACTTCAAGGTGACCTCTATCTGACTTGTGCTGATATACTTCAATAGAAGTCGCCTCCAAGTCAGATCCTCATCTATATTGATGTGATTTGGATCCAACATTACAAGATTACCCAGGCATTCCCTGAATGTTGCTTCAGAGTCGCTTCAAAGTAGTACTCAAGTCGCCTGGCAAAGTCGCACTGCAAGTCGTGAGACTAAAGGGTGCCTTGACTGGAACAAGGTTGAGAAACACTGCACTGGTATAATGTGATTACGTACAACTGTAAACAAGTCCCTTCTACTAAGTAGAAGTCTGATTATGTAAATATAAACATTCTTGTAGGAAGATGAAGACTGGTGTCTTACAATGGATGAAAACGGAAACATAAAGACACAACAGTTCGCTATTCATACAAAGGAACATCTGGCAGAAGAGCAGATTGGGACTTGTGAAAGAGGCTGGGATGATTGCATTGATGATGCATGTATTCTTGAAGCCGCTGAGGATGCAGAATTGGCAGACATAGCTGATCACAGTGTTGCTGAATGGAATTTGGGACATGCTGATATTCCAGATGAACTACTATTAGAAGCCATCAATGATCACAACACCGCAGTAGAACAATAAACCAATGTTTCCTCAGCTTGAAACCATAGCTGTTTGGAATTTTTGCACTGGATGATTGTTTGCTTTTACGCAGGGGCACTGACTGTTTAAGTAAGTGGACATCAGGATGCAGAACCTTGAAAATTGGATCAAAGTATTGAAAACTCTGTAGAAATAAGCACTTTATAATTTATCCTTCTTTTAATAAACCCCTCTTTTTTATATTTTTTGTATGTGTGTTTTGCTATTTACAGGATGTTCTGTAGTTATGCTAAGAAGACAATGCAAGTATAAGTAACAATGACCTCATCCTGCTGTGCTGCCATAGCCTGTGCAGAGCTGTAAGAAAGACCCAGCATGTTTCCATACTATAAGATTTCTGAAGAAAACTACAGAACCCCCCCCCCCCTCCATGCATTTTTTTGGGAGATGGTGGAAAAGGTGGAGAGAACTTCTCTGCCAAATCCCTGTCCAAAATGCCCATTGCTACTGGCTCACTGATGATGACTTTCAGCTGCATGTTAAAATCTTCTGCTTGTATCTTACTTTAATTTACAGTAAGTGTCACTGTCTAACTACATTAAGGCTTCTCTGTGATAATCCTGTATTAACCACTTGCCCTCCTGAGGATTTACCCCCCCTTCCTGATCGGGCCTTTTTTTTGCTATTCGGCGCTGCACTATTTCAACTGGTAATTGCGCGGTCATGCAATGCTGTACCCAAATTAAATTTGTGTCCTTTTTTTCACACACAAAAAGAGCTTTCTTTTGGTGGTATTTGATCACCTGTGCACTTTTTATTTTTTGCGCTATAAACAAAAGACCGAACATTTTGAAAAAAAAAAATATTTTTTACTTTCGGCTATAAAAAATATATAGTAAACTCAAAGTTAGTCATAAATTTAGGCCAAAATGTTTTCTGCTACATGTTTTTGGTAAAAAAAATCCCAATAAATATATATTGATTGCTTTGTGTGAACGTTTATAGCGTCTACAAACTATGGTATAGATACTGCAATTTATGTCATTTTTTGCTATACAGTGCTGCACTAGTTTAACTGACAATTGCACAGTCATGCAATACGGTACATAAGTGAAATTTTAGTCCTTTTTTTCACACAAATCGAGCTTTCTTTCGGTGGTATTTGATCACCTGTGTGCTTTTTATTTTTCGCGCTATAAACAAAATCCAAAAATTTTGAAAAAAAACCTCAAGATTTTCTCATTTCTGTCTAAATCATCCACAAAATCTCAAATTTTTGTCATAAATTTAAAAAATTCTGCTACATGTTTGGGTAAAAAATATAAATATTGATTGCTTTGTGTGAAAGTTATAGTATCTACAAACTAATGGTAAGGTAATGGAATTTGCACAGCTTTTACTTTCTGACTGCCTATCACATTTCTTGAGGTGCTAAAATACTAGGACAGTACAAACACCCCCAAATGACCCCTTTTTGGAAAGTAGACACACTAAGCTATCTGCTGAGAGGCATTCTGAGTGCATGGAAGATTTCTCTTTTTCCACAAGTTTTTGGATATTGACAAAAACATTTTTTTTTTTTTTTTTACACAAACTTGTCACTTAAATTATATATTGCTAACACAAGCCCTGCATATATGTGGAATTTACACCCCAAAATACATTCTGCTACTTCTACCGAGTATGGGGGTACCACGTGTGAGACTTTTTGGGAGCCTAGCCATATACAGGAGCCTGAGATCCAATGACCACTTTGAAATCCTGAAGGTGCATAACTTCCTCATTTCACTTCCACACTACCTATCACAGTTTTTTGGAGGCCCTGAAATGCCAGGATAGCACCAAACCCTCTCAAATGACCCCTTTTTGGAAAGTAGAAACCCCAAGGAATTTAAAAAGAGGCATGGTGAGTCCTTAGCAGATCTTGTTTTTCTCACAAGGTTTTGAAATATAAAAAAAGAAAAGAAAAAATGTTTTTGTTTTTCTTCAGTTTCTAAAAACTTGTGGCAACAAACACGAGATCTGCAAAATACTCACCATGCTTCTTATCAAATTCCTTGGGATGTCTACTGTCCAAAAGGGGGTAATTTGGGGGGTTTGGTGCTATCCTGGCATTTCAGGGCCTCCAAAACTATAATAGGCAGTCAGGAAGTGTAATGAGGAAATAAAGCCCTTTAAAAGCCTGAAGGTGTTTACTGGATTTTGGGGTCCTGTACTTGGCTAGACTGCCAAAAAGTCTCTCGCATGTGGTACCCCCATACTCAGGAGAAGTAGCAGAATGTGTTTTGAGGAGTAATTCCACATATCCCCATGGCAAGTGTGAGCAATAAATCATTTAAGTGACAATTTTGTGTTTAAAAAAAAAGTTTTTTTTTTTGTCATTTTTCCAAAAACTTGTGGTAAAAAAATAATTCTTCTAATGACTCAACATGCCTCTCAGCAAACAGTTTGGGGTGTCTACTTACCAAAACGGGTCATTTTGGGGGGTGGGGGCATTAGAAGTTTATGCCACACATCACTCACTCTTCTAACCACCTGAAGACCAAGTCTTTTCTGACACTTTTTGTATTTTTTTTCTAGAAAATTACTTTGAACCCCCAAACATATATATATATATATATATATATATATATATATATATATATATATATACACTATTATTAAAACAGACACCCTAGTTAATAAAAGTGGTGCTAAAATTTTTATGTCACATAGTACTCGCGCATTGATTTTTCAAATGCAAATTTTTTGAAAAATATACACTTTTTTTACTTTTCATGCACAAAAGCACAATATATTGGCCAATTATTTCGTAACATATCAAGGACGATGGTATGCCGAGTAAATAGATACCAAACATGACATGCTTTAAAACTGCACATGCTCCGTACAATGGTGACAAACTGCATACATACATAGGCAATGCTTATAAAAGCCTTTACAAGTTAATATTTTATATTGGTACCCCAATGTATCAAGTGACGGTGATCTACTGACACTGCACTTGCTGGGGGAGAAGGGGGGGTAAGCGTAGGGGCTAAACGCAGGTGCCGAGGCTGATCCCGCTAACACTGCTTTTTTGGGGGACACTATACTAATGTGAACGCTGGTATAGTGCTGATCTGATTGAAGATATTGATCTGTTCAGACACTATACTAGCAATGAAGGTTTATTGTGTATCTGAGTATGTTCCTGGCAATCAAGGGGTTAAATGTGATTACTGGTGTACTGACAGGCAATCTGACGCTATCAGGGAGGGGCGCTAAATGACGCTAATGCTATCTGAAGTCGCTGGTGACACTAATACAGTGATCAGCAAAAAATCTGCAAACTGTACTAATGACACTGGTGACAGGGCAGTGAAGGGATTAACTGGGGAGGGGGGGGGCAATCAAGGTGTTAAATGTGTTCTAAAGTGTTCTAACTGTGAAAATTGTGCTGATTGTACTTTGTCTTGATTCTTCTCTCTCTGGGACCAAATGTGTCCAGAGAGAGAAGATGTCATCACTTCCTGTACCTGTGTAACTGTAAACACAGGTGCAGGAAGATCCCTGATAGGACAGGGATTGAGCATCTGACTTAGGCTGACCATCACTGGCCTAAATTGGATGATTGATTCCTTGGGGGTCAAATCACGGCACCTCCCCCCTCCCTTGAAAAACCGTGAGAGTGCGTGTGTGTGTGGTGTATATGTATGTGTGTATATATATATATATATATATATATATTATATATATATATATATATATATATATGATATATGTATATGTATATATGTATGTATGTATATATATATTATATATATATATATATATATATATAATGTATGTGATTTTGCGCACCGGTGCCACCCTGTAGCAGTATTTCTGCTATAGGGTGGCGCGGAAGGGGCTAAAGTGATGCTAAACTCGCATCCTTTTTATAAAATAAATGCAATATGTTTAAATATAAATCGAATGTATTTTTTTTTCTCTCTTCCTTTCTTTGTTTCATCTCTCAAATTCAAGCCTTTTTTCTGCTATTCTCAGACTTCATGTTCTAGGTTCCCCCCACCCCCCTGCTTGCCCCCAAAATGAACAACACATCTATGTGCAGACACATTCAGCTCTATGGGAACTGTTGCGTAGAGCACGTGACCAGAAACAAGGGCACTGCTGGCTCTATACGGGTAGCTGTGAGGTGCACCAGTGGAGGATAGGGAGCTTGCATAGGACAAGAAAGAAGCCTGAAAACAATAAGATTTAAGAAAAAAAAAACAGAACCTCGGTATTCTTGAATTGTGATAGCATGAATATCCTTGAGAGATTTCAAGAATTTCCTTTTTATGTTTTCTCAAATTAAATTGTTTTTCTGCTAACTGTTTTAGATATTTTTCTACAAATTTCTGAAAAATATCAATTTTCCTTCTATCATATATCAGATAGAAATCTGATTCAAACTTTGGACAAGATTTTAAGCTTGGGGGGTTATGATCCTTTATGTAACATTCCACCCCTTTAAAATCACCATCATCTAGAGTTCAAAGATCATATAATAAACTCAAATCTTGAAAACATCTATTTTGCACTAGATTGTGCTATGGATTCCAGGTAAATTTTCCATAGTCTCTTACATCTAGTGTAGTCTGATATATACAGTAAGCATCCAAAGACAAATGAGAATGAGATCTCCAAGTTGCAAAAATTCTTTCTTTACTTCAGGTGTATCTTCATACAAAAAGCGTGACTGCACAGTTTCAAGCCTAACACCGCTCTTCATCAAGCTACAATTTTGTAAATATAAACAGTCTTCTAGGAAGATGAAAACTGGTGTCTTACAAAGATGAAACTGGAAAGATAAAGGTTTGGACTTGTGAAATAGACTGGGATGATTGAGTTAATGATACCTCAATACTTGAAACCACAGGAAGGAACAGTGATGTTTGTTCAGTTGTTTTTTGCACCCCCACTCTAGCTTAAGCTGGTCATAGATGGATCAAATCTCAGCTGGTTCAGCAGGATCTTACCGAGATTTGATCCATCTATGGGCAGGCTGATTG